AGAGGACTAGTTGATTGACTCAGAGGGTGGTGAGAAGAGGCATGGTGGTGGCTCTGCAACGGGTTTCATTCTTATTAATATAGATGGAAAATAAAAAGCATCCTCAAACAAAAAGAAAAAATGCATCACATTTGGCACTTTCATCCCCCCAAAATTTTAAACAGATACCTTTTTTTGACATTATTTTAAGAGTGCACAGAAAAGGTACACTTTGAAAGAAGCATTAGTGCATCGCAGGCCAGATTTCAAAGATGCATTTTGCAATTAAACGGTTTCACTACATGACCTAAAATGTCCTATTCCCATGACATACGGTCATATTATTTGGTTATGAATGTTTATCTGTTCAGCTCCCTACATAAAATGACCAATAATATCAATGAAGATGAAACTGCAAGTCAATCACAAATGTATACTCAGCATAGATAACAGACTAGAAATGCCTAGACTGGAGAAACATAAGCAATTACCAGGAAATATACTGTGGGTAAGAAGGTGGGATCAGTAAGTCACAGAGCAGGATTTAAGTACAAGATAGATCATATGCTGTCCCTGCTGGTCACTGTCAAACAACAACATGGGTCACCTTCGCCTGGGTGGTGGGCTACGACGCCTGTAGTCATCTCGGTCTCGAGGACGCCTGCCCCACGAAGGGGGAGCGCCACGGGTACGGCTGCGCTTCTCACCGTTGGACAGCTCTACTCGCACCCGGCAACCACACAATGTCCTAGAAAACAACCAGACATTATCAACCATTATAGCTGCAGCAAAAGTTGTAGTTTTTCTACAGTTTCGGCCAGTGAGTGTCAACATTAGTTCAGATTGATGCCTACCTTCCATCAAGCTCACGCACTGCATCAGTAGCATCTCTGGGGTCTTCAAATTCAACAAAGGCGAAGCCTGGAGGGTTCCTGGCCACCCAAACACTGCGGAGAGGACCATAGTAGCCAAACGACCTTTCTAACTCTGTCTTGTTTCCATTGTTGCCCAAATTTCCAACATAGACTTTACAGTCTAGTGGACAGTCACGATGCATGACTGAATCTGAAAAATAATGAACAAAGAAAGGAAATTGGTTATAATACAGCAGAGTCATAAGGGAAACGCATGAACTAGTAGATTAAGCTAAACTAGAAGAGTCTGTGGTGTGAACATTAACGTTAATGATCCCCATTGTCGCAATATGCGTTGCACAACTTGGCTTTATCCAATCTTCCAGAATAACCTCCATAAAAAGGTGTGTACCATTAAATGAACAAAGTTTATGTTATTACAGTGCATGAAAAACCTGCTGTACTGACTCAAATCACACCGACAATGAGTTAAATAAACTACATGGGAAAGGTGAAACGAGCATGGCCTACTTGGCTGTCGGAGTCGACGCCAGACGTTATGCTAACTTTAGCTTAACAAAAAAAAAAAAAATACTACGGTGTGTAAGATAATGCTAGCCTTTCAGAAAGCTTGTAAAAACAAACCACACGATTAACTGAACGGCTAACCCAACACTTGCCTGTATTCCACATTAAAATATGTCGTTTCACATCCACACAAGATTATGATTCGACGCTTGTGAGCTAATAAAAGCTAAAGGCTATTTAACGATAGCTAAAATGGCTGTCTCCTTCCCGCGGCCCTCAGCAGCGTTCAGCTAACAACCACAGACATCAAACAATAGATTTAACTCGTGTGGCGATACGATTGATCGACTCAAACATGACATCCGTGGAAACAAAAGTCACAGTAAAACACACGATAAAGAGTTTAATTCAGACTGTACCTTGTTTAGTTGTTACTTCCAGCTCAAACTGTGTGCGCTCCTCAGGGTGGTTTGTTCTTCTCTCGGTCGTCGATGGAAAATGGCGTGACGGAAAATACGTTCGTCAGTAGAGTGACCAGGATGCTGAGGGCGGGGTAAGTTACCGGTGGGTATACGATCTCACTTTAACTAGTGGATTTAATAGTATTTTAACACATACTTCGTGTTACAAAGACTCCATATTATTCGATTCAGTTAGTTTAATCTCTAAAATATTTATGGATCGTATTAAGAGCTTGAAACGGATGAGAAAGGTCTTAAACCGGTAACACACACTTTGACTGCAGTACCACTGTTGGCCACAATGCGGGAGTCGGTTTGGTGATGGCGCTGTTTCGATATTTCTTGGTCAGGGATCCACAGTAGGTTTTTTTCCCCCCCTTCAATAAACCTTTATTGAATAAAATGATGTACAATGTTCAATCCGTGCAACAACAGTAAACGACACAGCGTGTAAAGAAACAGTAAGACTAAACGAATAATAAAAATACAATAAATACATGATGAAATAATAACCTTGTATGTGGATACTTGTATTTCCCTCGGGATAAATAAAGTATCTATATATCTCTATCTAACAATAAAAAAAAACTGGAAAAGCTATACACTAAATCCACATGTTAAATTGACCATGTGTCTTAATTTACAATATGATCCAGTTCTTCATGGAAAACAGAAAATGATGGGCTCTTTGTTGGTCTATAAAACTCTGTAGTACTTATAATACTGATTGTGCTTGTTTTTCAATTATCTGTCACTTACAAACCCAGGCTGTCATTCACAGAGACAAAAGTTGCACCCAGCTCAGTCTCATAACTCAATCCATAATTATACCCCAAGCTTAAAATATGTTTTCATATATGTAGGCTAAACTCAGCAAACTCAAGGTTTATAGTTAAACATAACTTCAATATTACTTTTAAACCTCACTGTCTGGTTTTGGTTAAGAGCAATCACAGCAGTCATAGTTCTGGTGAGTTACATAATTTTGAGAGAGAAATTAAAGGCTGGATTTGTGGAAATTGTGCAATACACATATGATATACTTGGACTTACTATTACTGGGCTTTATGCAGGTCTATGCAGGTATGGCGAATAAAGTTATGTAAAAAATGTCTAAATCCTGGCTTTGCATGCAACCTTTGTATTTGCTTGTGATGTAAAATGCACCAATGCAGGTACACCAATACAGTGTTTGCCGATACAAATTTGATGCTTTTGATCATTCTTCATCACAGAGTGCCTCTGTTGATACTATCAAAGTATGTCAAGCTATTAAACACATTCACTGCAGAATTAAATGCTTTTATAAACTTACATTTTTGTTAAAGGGCTGCTGGACAATTGCTCCTTTCAGATCAGGATCATAACAACAATCATAACTGAAACTTATATGAGCATCTTTTCCCTGAAAATAGAGATGAAACATGAAGTATGGGGTGAAGGTAGTGATGATTGAGCTGGTTACCTCTTTGGTTTTTATGCAAATTCAAGACTGTTATTTACCTTTCTGTTCCCACGTCTCCATCAATATTGATAACTTTGACTGTGCAAGGATGTGTTCATCAGTTGAAGTTGCACCAGGATGTTTTGTGTGACCTCTATTCATGAATTACAACCTGAATGTCCCTTGCTGGTTCACGTTGGGAAGTCTAACTAACTCTAAGTTATTTTAGCTTTTGTCAGGTTGCTGCACCATGCAACCTTACAGCATATTCTTTACTCATGCACATTAGACACAAATAATGTTGCTCAAGGAACAGTCACCTGCATTGCTTTCAGTTTTGTTTGAGGTACTTTTTAGTAAATTTTCCTGTTTGTGAGGCTCTGGAGCTTTCCACAGCATGCATTACACTCTTTTCAAATGGTTGCGTGCCATGCTCTCTCCCTTCCTTCTGCAGAGAGGCTTTTGGGGCTTAATGAGAAGTAGAGGAGTGTAGTCCCTCTGGGCTGCAATCATGTGAATGTCACGGAGCAAGGATAACCTATTGATTAATTCATATAATGTTATAACACTCTACCATAACTAACTGAAACTGCAACTATTGGTTTAGAGCTGACTGGCACAGAACAAATATAGTGAGAACTGGCCGTGTCAGATAGGGTTGTGTCTTACATTTAATCATATTTGAATATAGTGCACATGCAGAAGAAAAATCTACTTCCACTGCCACACTGTGTCGTGACAGAAGACTTTTTGGAGAGTGTGTTTATTTCGCAATCTCAAGCCTGAGGGAGCATGCGTGCTGAATGAGGATTCATATGAGCTTAATGATGCATTTATTGGGAATGGGAACAGTATGAACTCTTTACCCCTGTTCCAGTCCTTACACACAAGTGTAACGGTGTTTTTGAGCGTCCAACCAGGTAGAATGAAAACATGACAATAATTAAATGAGTGAAAAATAATTTTCAATAAAGTGATGTGATGGAAACTGTTTGGCTTTCTCTTTGCTGTGATCAAAACTCAGTATTTTTCCAAACGATACACGTCTTTCATAGTGTAATGGCAGTACACTGTTCTGCATATTATGCAAATTAGTCTATATATTATATACTTCAGACATTTCCTGATTTGAAGGTGTAAATAAAGTGGGATAAAACTATTAAATAAAATTGCATTCGTGTGGCTGCTTTCAGAAGATAAGATTAGATAGACTTTATTGATACAACAATGGGGAAATTCACTTGTTACAGCAGCTCCAGATACAAAACAGCAGAATAGATAAAAAAATACACATTAAATAAAAATTGAATAGAAAAATACAAGATATAATAGAAAAACAAAAAATAAGAATAATATATAAATTAATATATATAGTTATATTTACACTATATACACCTTTTTATATAGCCTACAGTTGTGATTGATAATAGAACAATGCACAGGTCACAGCAGGAAGGAGGGGGACGGTGTAGAAATAAATGTAACAGCACAACCATATATACAGCAGTGTCATTTAAAGGTAAGTAAAAGTAAGAAAGATCATTACTCAAGATACGGTGCTCTGGCGGAAATGGGCGCGTTAAATTTAGCCGAAACAGAAACACAACACAGCCTACAATAATCCCCATAACACACCGTTATCATTCTCGTTGTCTTTGTTGTCCCACCGTCCTTGAACGCAGCTGTGTAACCTCACCGCCCCCTCAGTCTGTTAGTAACCGCCCACAAAGTTACTCAGCCAGGTGACAGCTGAGCCAGCAGGGACCCAGCACGGCTGCACTCTACGCAACATAACGATATCTGTCAGTGCCACATCAACGCGGAGCCCACACACACCGCTGCTCAACTTTTATTTTCTGTGTTGTTGTTGTTGTTGTCTTTTGTTTGTTTTTTTTACACGTACGTTATTTGAACGCCTCTCTTTCCGCTCGTTGTTGCGGAGCAGCCTGCTAGCAGCGCGAGGATATAATTAACGTTCGCGTGTGACGTTAAGACCAGAGAAGGCTCAACGGTTGTAACGTTATTTGTATTTGTGAGCCGCTAACGTTACACAGCCGCCGTCAACATGTCAGATCCGGTCGGGGAGGCGAAGTTGGAGGTGAAACAGGCGAGCAAAGAGGTGAAAGAGAGCGAAAACGTAGCGGAAAAATACTCTGCCATGACCGTGAGCAAGAATAGTGAAATGAACATGGGAGAGCTGTCGTCCGCCTTCAGCGCTGTGCCCACTCACAAACCAGTTAAAAAGGTAAGTTACACAGTGCAGCTATTGTGTGCTGATCATTTTAATCAGTTAGTGTGTAAGGGGTCAGTTGTACCCCAAATCATGGGTTTACAATGTGTTACACACTACTATTTACTGCCCACAATATCATAATATTGTTAGTATATTAGGAAGGCATTCGTAATTAGTCTAATAATTAATATCCTCCAGTGCTTTGCTAAATAAGGGGAGTAAATGCCAAGTAGCTTTACACATACAAGGAATTTGCCTTGGTAATAGACATAAGACAAATAATAGAGACAATAAAAGGAGCCAATATATACAAATATAAAAGGATAAAACAGAATTTATATACATTTAAGGGAATTTACATTGAAATTATATATTTTTTTAATATGCACCAATAAGGATTTCCATAACAGAGAATATAAACTAATATGAATTGTCTAAATCTGTGTAAAATAAAGCCTACAATACAGTGTGATATAGGTATATTATATGTTACCCAAAAAAAGTCTGTTTTTCTTTACCCAGACTGTGAAGTAGTAAGAAGGGACACTTTGTGCAGGTTGTGCTTAAGAGTATTTTAAAGTTACCGTTGTCTACATGTGTAGAATGACTGATACTGAAAGTTTGTTTTCTTAAACCTCAAAAGTCTAAACAAAAAGACCAGTTCTATTTCCTCTACAGAGACAATCAGTTTCACCTAACTTGCTTGTTTCCTAACCATGTCCACTTCAAGGAAACAACAGAAAAATGTATAAAGGATGTTAACTGACACCTTCAAGGAAGGAGGAAGAGTTGGACCTGGAATTCTTGGGGCTTTAGACCTTAAAGTATTTGCACACCTCATTTACGTTGGAGTGGACACATGATTACAGATTTCAGACAAAATGCACACTCTAACCTGTTTTTGGGTTAGCCAGAGTAATAGCAACATGATCTCTCTGTATAGTGCATTACAATTCAACAGCACCTCAATCAAAGTACATCCTGCAAAATGATCATACAGTTGAATCAGCACCTCACACTATAACCGTCATGAAAGCAGGATTTAAAGGCGGGACTGTTTTATTAGCCTACATTAATACCTAATAAACCTGAAACAGAGTGTATAGCTCAACTGTGATCAGGAAACAGCTTGAGATTTGTTAGTCAGCCTGGTTGCCTCAGTATAGACTAGCTGTTTCACATCCTCATTCTCTTCATGGGACGGATCTCAAGTAGAACAGTTTGGGATATATGTTTGGTTGAGGAGTTTAAAGTTGTGCTCACTGGGTAGATGCGTGGGTGTCTTTAACACAAGGGGCAGGAAGTATTTTATCATCATATCATCTGGTGCCAAATAATAAAACAGAAATTAGGTCATGGTAATACAGTTACCATAAATCCCATTTATATTTAACAACTTTATGCCCAACCTAGAATCCAACAAGGCAAAGCTTTTAACCCACTTCCCCACCGTGAACTAGAGACAGCTCCTGTAAATATGAATTCATTTGTGGTCGTGTTTGTAAGACACAGCAAGGAAAAAGTGTTAAATGATGGCTGCTGTCATTTGTCATGTAAGTAAAGGTTGCCCAACAGTTTGCTGTGTCCATGTGGTTTTTGCCCTCAGTGATCCAGGGTCAAAGCCCAGGGGTAGACAGATATTTGGACATAGAAATGATTAGCTTGTGTTAAGGTGTTATGTTACAGATGTTTAGTTTAATGGTTATGTCTTGTGGTTAATATTTAGGCATTAATGGCAAAGCCTACAAATGATTATGCATGGAAATGAGGTTGGAGATGCTTGTTTGGAGATTAAGTATGTGGTTTTCTGTGGTTGTGTAAAATTTTACTTACTCAATCATGCCCTTTTAATAATATTTGTCCCAGTTATCTCCTTGACGGGCATTTAAAAACAATACTGTAGGCAAGAAAAGGTATAGTTAAAAGTTTGGAAAGAACCACCACACAGGAAATTATGTCTTAAGTCTTTTTCAGCACTAGTCCTAGAGTCTATAAGCACATTATAATACAATGAATGAATAAAATCTTTAATATGGTTCTCAGTCAGTATCAGTCAGGCTTTGGGCCCTGCAGTCCATCCCATTCTGTCCTGTCCAGGGAGAAAGTATGTGGTGTCTTGTCACCTTAATCTCAAGAAAACAGCTTTGCATTGTTCTTCGTTGCCGTGTTATTTTCACTGGTATGTGGAAGGTTTTCAGGACCAGGTCTAAAGCTAGAAACTAGAGACTGACCATATCAGAATGAAGAATCTCACTCCCATTCAAAGATGAAGAGAATGAAGCTGAGTGATAAAAGGAACCAAATTTTACACTTTAGTCTGATTTATAAACATCTAATTCAATCTCCCCATGCTCTGATTCTTGATATCTCATAGTTTAAAGAGTTAAAAACCTCACCTGTCCTGGTAAAGAAAAAAGAAAACAAAAAACATTCCTGAAACTGCTCAGGTGTAGAGATCTGCTCGACAACTTCTCCATACCTGAGGAGATAACGTTACTGCACCTAGAGGATTTTTCTCTCTATCTCATGTTGCTTCGATGCACAATCCCTATCAGCAACAAAAGAAACCTGTTTACTGCTGCGATTAAAAAGTAGCTGATCAGACATAAAGCTCAGTACACACAACAAAACAGCAGTTCTATATCTTGCAGACACACACACTTATGTTATCTACTCATCTGGATGCAGACTAAATAAAGTGTAAGTGAGGCACTAATTGTCATACCACAACATTATAATACATTACAATATAATATTATAATTCATATTGTGGGTAATTATCATATTTAATATCTAATTAATTCACATTAGTTTACAGACCACAGTGGATTTTAAATGCAGTTAATTAGCTGAAGAGCTGCATGATTTTTATCTGTCTGGAAGTTTTGGGATTGCAACAAAGCTGTGGTAAACTGAATCCAATAGAAATGTGGCTTTGGCAGCTTAATTTTTTGGTCAGCTTTAAATCTATCTCGATGACGCAATGTGTGTGTTGGTCTGCAGCCAGACATCTATTTTTGTCAAAACAACAACATAAAGTTCCTCGTTTGAGTCGGATTATTATGTTGCCAAAGTGTTTTTTAGTAAAGATCTTCATTTCTCTTCATTCCACTCGATCCAAATTTGGTCATGGCTGAAGCCATATTAACAAGGCCTCAAGCAACACAACAAAATAAACAAGTCCAACTCCCATTTCTACTCAAAGAAGGATTGGTTGTCTACACAATATCCAGCCTACAGCTGAACCATAATATGAGCTTTTAAATTACTCAGAGGTTTGTTTTACAGTTCGATTTGTATCCTCTTAAAATAACTTCAGTTTAAACCATCTATGAGAGCATTCAACTAACAGCGTTTAACATTATTTTAATTTTACAACAGCAAATACAGTTTGTGGAGGACAAGCAGGAGTTCAGCAGGTTCCCTACCAAGGCAGGCCGTCGCTCCCTGTCTCGCTCCATCTCTCAGTCATCCACAGACAGCTACAGCTCCGGTAAGAAGGAGAGACAGCCAGATACATGTGTGCACCAGGGTTATAATATTTTACGTGAACTTATACATTTGTTACTATATATGTTAACTGAGCTTCAGAGTGTTACAAGGAAGGCAAAGAGAGGATGGTGGATATGAAGCTCTAAGTCCTGGGTCTTCAACGGGCCTGCGAGTAGCTTTAATTTGGCAAGTTTTTTGAGAACCTTGTTTCCTTTCCAGCTGCGTCCTATACGGATAGCTCTGACGACGAGACCTCACCACGAGACAAACCTCAGGTCAACTCCAAGGGCAGCAGTGACTTCTGTGTCAAGAACATCAAACAGGCTGAATTTGGCAGGCGTGAGATTGAGATCGCAGAACAGGGTAAGACGATGCCCATAAATTCACCATTTTACTTGTCTAATTAATCTAAAAGACCTCTGTCATAATATGTTGCATCTAAACCAAGCATTATTCAGAATTTATAGAATATCAAACGTTTAAAGTTTAATTACCCAGAGGAGTTTTGTGAGATTCTTTTGCATCGTCTGCTTTGCTGTCTTCCTCACTCATCTCTTTTTATGTTCTGATGTTGTTTTCAGATATGTCGGCGCTGATCTCACTCAGGAAGAGAGCACAGAGTGAGAAACCATTGGCAGGTGCCAAAATTGTGGGCTGCACTCACATCACTGCCCAGACTGCAGTAAGACTTCTCTATCTCACGTTGAGCTTTAACAATCCAGCAAAGGCTGCAATGTGATAGTGCCTCTTAATCAGAAAAGGATTTTAGGTCAATTTTATTCACAGCTTCTCCACATTTACTGACTAGAAAACTGAACTTTTTACACCAACTCTCATTTTACTTGAGTCTTAAACGGTTAAAGGAGTTTTTATTTCCATAAAATACACATTTGGCTGTGTTTCAACCACCAGCAGATCCCACTGAGCCAAATACAGTATGTGATCAAACTGTGTCGCAGATGTAATAAAAACCTGGTTCATTGTAACCTTCAGTGTTCTTGAATAATACACTGATAAGTGGTCTATTCGTGACAAGAGAAAAGCTCTGTCTTATTTGACAATCTTCTAATTATTTCCTTCTTACCTGCATTTTTTCAGGTGCTGATCGAGACTCTGGTGGCTCTTGGGGCTCAGTGTCGCTGGACTGCATGTAACATATACTCTACTCAGAATGAAGTGGCTGCTGCTCTGTCAGAGACCGGTAAGCAATAGAAAAGGTGAAAAACATTTTGTTTTGGAGATTGAATACAGGCAATGGATAATGTTTTTGCCCCTTACTAACTTTGAGGTGTGGAAGTCCATAAATGTTTCCCTATCAGCAGAGGTGTGCTTCACCATGTGAGCATCTCGTGTCTTTTATAACCAGGGATACAGTTTGGAAATGTTTAATAAACTCTTGAAAAATCAGCCCTGCAGAGATAATGGGAACACATAAGATTTGCCATTCAGTGAAGTAACAGCACTACTTGAGCCTTTTATCTGTCGTTGCTATGTGATGGTTTAAGTATGTACTAAATTTCCACAGTAGACCTTTCATGATGTGACAAGCTGTGGGGGTCACAACAGATTTATGAGTCGCTCCATGGAGATCATGCATTTTATGGGGGTTCAATTTGTGTCTGCTATCCAGTACAATATTGCTATGCATAGACTACTACATGCTGAGCTGTTTTATCAAAAAAACATACATTTACATTAAAATAGAGGGCACTTGGAAAGCTCAACTGTGTGCCACTGCTGTTACTTTGTCCTCATTCATTGTCATATGTGCAGGTTGAGAAATAGTTTGGTTCTTTAATGGCAGCATACTCTCTGTCTCTGTTTTGGACAATTGGTCATGTTCATCAATTTAGACTGAATGAACACGATACAAACGTGGGCTTGTTGATGCGAGATTCTTCAAGATATTACCCATCATGTCATGTGTCATGTTTCAGGTGTGGCTGTGTTTGCCTGGAAAGGGGAGTCTGAGGATGATTTCTGGTGGTGTATCGACCGCTGTGTCAACAACGAGGGTTGGCAGCCTAACATGGTATGTGGAGATGTTTCTAGTTCCACCTTTTGTGAGGAGACAGTTTGTGTACAAATAGACTGTGATATGACAGTGCAGTACATTTATTTGTCTGTGTGCCCAATAGGAAGCCTCTGTGTTATCACTGTCTCTTTAACAACAATCATTTTCATAGAGTAAAATCACATTTCTTATCTGTTAGATCCTTGATGATGGAGGAGACTTGACACACTGGATGTACAAGAAATACCCCAATGTATTCAAGAAGATCAGGGGCATTGTAGAGGAGAGTGTCACCGGGGTTCACAGGTGATCTACTGCTTAATGGATATACATTTAAAATATACAGTTAGACACCCACAGCAACACTCACCAACATGAAGTTTCTACCTCCCTCTCTCCTCTTTCTAGGTTGTATCAGCTGTCTAAAGCTGGAAAGCTGTGCGTACCGGCTATGAATGTAAATGACTCTGTGACAAAGCAGAAGTTTGACAACCTGTACTGCTGCAGAGAGTCAATCCTGGACGGGTGAGTAAGCTTGAGTTGGAGGTATTTTGTTGTTGGAAGGCTGAATAATAACAAAATGGAACTGATGTTGAAACGCTACACAGTTTATTTATCGGACAGCTTTTACAGTCATTAGTAAGGTTTGCAAGAAAACACAACATCCAACGAAGGGCCTTGCTTGTATCGCGTAAACAATCTGCAGTTTAATACACTCAAAGAAAAAGTCACATCCTTCACTCCTGAGTCAGTGCCACATTCTTAACATTAGAACCATGTCTGTTGTAACACTGGAGTGACGTAAAGGTCAGGAAACATTGCTGCCATCACAGGACCCCCGGCCCATAAAGATCAAATTCACATATCACCTCGATAGCTTTTAAAAAAGGCTGTTGCCCTTGTAATACTCCTCTACTGTGCACCCTGCAAACTCTCTAGACTCTGCACAACATGAGCAAAACAGCCTGAGAACATAACCGTTGCATTTATTACCCTCCTGTTAATTATCACCACACCGGCATGTAAATAGTCTAGTACTCTTTAACAATTTCTCTGTAGTCCATGTTTTATGCACCCACCACTCGTAATTTATTGCTTTTCCTTCTGATTAATTATCTGCACTGTAGTCTTGTCTGGTACACTGAGGTCTTGTAGCAGGTGTTCCATTATGAGTAATGCCACTAAATGCTTTATTGCACTGGAGTATTTAAATAAACTAATATGTTTTGTATAAAGAAGAAGTTTATTATTCCACAGTCATATTATCCAGAACTGTAAGAAAGTTATACTGTCACAGAAAACAAAGCTTTGAAATGGATATTTTGGACAGGTCAGCAAGGATTTTTGTAGTATGCCAGATTTTAGAGTGTTAAGATACAGATTGGCAGTTTTTCACCTCCACAAAATGTGCTAATTTTATGTCTCAAACCTCTCTAGTTTGAAGAGGACCACAGATGTCATGTTCGGAGGCAAACAGGTGGTCGTATGTGGGTACGGTGAGGTGAGATACTTCTTTTAACATTTACATATAACACATTAATATCAATCATATAGCTGTGAAAACATTTATAATGATACATTGCAGTGTCAAAAGACAATCAACACAGGCCACGGACTCATAACACTGATAGCTGTCACCACCTTTCAGTGGAAAATATTTCCAGGACATTAAATATAACTGTCTGACTGTTGAGTCTAGATGATGTTAAAGCATCAACATTTGCAGCGCCTGTACCTAGAGCCTTGATGGTTTTGTGTTAAGATGGCTCATGTTTAAATACTGATACTGATGAGGTCAGGGTAATAATTGCCATATGTAACTCTGCTGGTCATACAGTATATCCTCTTGTCTTTGCAGGTTGGAAAAGGTTGCTGTGCCGCTCTGAAAGCTCTGGGAGCCGTCGTCTGTGTTACAGAGATTGATCCCATCTGTGGGCTGCAGGCCTGGTGAGAAACAAGAACTGGGATGAGCTCTATGTGGAATGTGTTGAATGTCATAAATATATGAACATAGCATGGCATAGCAAGTTTGTTAATTATTTAACAAACATATTTTTAAACTTAAACACACTACATTAACCCAACAGGGAGCTCAGCCCTTCAGCTGAACTGAGTTGCTTGTCAATAAATAATAGATACTTTCCTGTTTGTCACAGTCCTCACTGAGGCTTAATGTGGGACCTTGTTTTTCTCTTGTTTGTAAACAGCATGGATGGATTCAGGGTGGTCAAGCTGAATGAGGTCATTCGCCAGGTTGATGTCATCATCACATGCACTGGTAACTAACACTGGTGTAACTGCTCATCAGGATGCACTGATTATAAGCTTTCAATCTGTGCCTGTGATTGAAGGTGAATCATTGTGTCTTTCTTTAGGGAACAAGAATGTGGTGACCAGAGACCAGCTGGACCGGATGAAAAATGGCTCTATTGTCTGCAACATGGGCCACTCCAATACTGAGATTGATGTGGTAAACTACTGTAGTGCTTAACGAGCTAAATATATCCTACAGACTGAGTTAATGTATTACATGTGCATGTTCAAATGTTTAAATAGCACTTAAAGGATTGCCCTAAGGGTCAGTCACATTGTGCTGAACTGTTATTTAGAACATGAAGGCCACTGATATTTCTCATCTCTTCCAGGCAAGTCTTAGGACCCCAGAGCTGACCTGGGAGAGAGTGCGCTCTCAGGTGGATCACATCATTTGGCCTGATGGCAAGAGGGTCATCCTCCTGGCTGAGGTAAATAATCTGTGTTTATCTCATTTGTGGAAAACAAATGAATATTAGCAGCAGGTTTAGCACATACAGAAACCCACCAATCTATTCTCCCCATTTTTATAACAATACTGCCATTACTTACTTTTAGATGGTGCTTAATAAAAACATTTAATTTGTAGAAAAGGTTTTTAACACAAACCAAAGGATAACATTTCTCCCTGTAGGAGTTTTTGATTTGCAGATTTACAGTAGAACTGTGATATTCCTAAAAGAACCAAAACTATTTCGTATAGAATTCCTGAAAGATTTTTAGAAAATGGTGAGAATTTTTTTTGAGAACTTTTTGACTAGTGCAGTCTCAACATGTTGATATACAAGGTTTCATTATGTTGGAACAGTGATACATAAACATACTTTTTAATGACTGTATTCTTGATAACGTTGTTTTCTTTCATAGGGACGTCTACTTAACCTCAGCTGCTCCACTGTCCCTACCTTCGTCTTGTCCATCACAGCCACCACTCAGGTAATGCGTTGATGCTACAAACAGCCTGCAATAAGCTATACAGCAGCTCAAGACAAACAATAGTTATTGCTGATGTCCACTGCAGATAGCATATAGGGTTCATTGTGTGCTTATTATTTGGCCGATCTGGCAGGTGAGCTCAGGATGATGATTTACACTTGCAATAACATGCTGCTTCTCTTAATATATCTGTTTTTATTGTTCATAATTACATTTATTGCTCTTCATTCAGTTCATAATGTGCATTATTTATTAATCCATGTTTGTGTTCAGGCCCTGGCCCTTATAGAGTTGTACAACGCTCCTGAGGGACGATACAAGCAGGATGTTTACTTGCTTCCCAAGAAGATGGGTGAGGATATATATTAACTTAACCCTGACCTGTTGTAGTTAAGTGTTTAAAGTAACTTTACTCATGGCTAGGCTGTGTGAATTATTTTATTCTCAGTCTTCCATGCAAATATATTTTGAGATTACAAGATGGAAATTGAAAATCTTACTCATGGCCCTTTGGTGATGGTGGCGCTATAACTGGCTCTGACCTTTTGAGCACAGTTCTACCCAGCATACATACTGGTTTCCTGTGTGGTGTATGTATTGCTGTCTTATTACAACATATCTGTGATCTGTTTCAGATGAATATGTGGCCAGTCTGCATCTGGCCACTTTTGATGCCCACCTGACAGAACTGTCTGACGATCAGGCAAAATACCTTGGGCTGAATAAGAACGGCCCTTTTAAACCCAACTACTACAGGTACCATTCAGCAAAGTTTGACCACAGAATACTTCAGAATAGTAGTGAAAATATGAAGCTAAAAGCTAATAATTAATTATTTATTAACATTTTTAGATAATTGTCTATAAAATGTCAAAATGTATATCCTAGATTAGAGTCATATTGCTTATTTTTTCTAACCAACAATCGAGCTGTAATTGCCATTTGTTTTAGATTTTGATAGATGGCTTGTAGTTACACACACATGCACACACAGAGGTATAAAATAAATAAGGGATTTGCTGTTAACATTTTCAAGCATTTCCTAACTAAACTTGTTCTTGGTATTCACAGGTATTAGACTGCGGGGGAACCACACCTCAGCACACCTAAAGGTGGTACAGAATATTACCTGTCCCTGAGACAAAAGAAAGATTTATGTATATTGTATTTTATACTCTTCACAGGACGCACAGCTTATATTTAGTTGTATTTACTGGCCACAGCAAGTTTCTCCTCTCTTGTGGCTTCCTACAGAACTGCACAGGGCACCCAGCTGGCTATGAACATCAATGTAACCACAGCATTTATATCTGCTGTTTAGGGAGATTTTTAGTTTCTGTTTCTATGCCCTCTGGCTCCTTGGTTATTTTAGAGTTCTGATAGATATTGAATAATGTATTAATATGTTGTGCCAAATTACTGTGACAGAGAAAGGTTATAGTTGTTGTGAAATGTTAATGGTTAGTTTTTTCAATTCAGATAAAACCTGCACTAAGTGATAATTTTGATATAAACGTTATATCAAATTCACTTCACTTAAAAATCCAACCCACCTAACTCTGAAGCTCACTGAGCTTTGTACCCACTGTTGACTCCAGAGGTCTGACATAAAGTCCTGGCTGGTGAATGAAGAAAACTGAGCTCCTAATGTGTTTCTGAGGAGTAGGTGGACCAAATCAGAGCTAAAAGGCCAGTGAATACTGAACTTACATTTATCAGGTGGCCTGAAATGTGACGTGCTATGTGTCAGCTGGATGTTTTAAGTAGGCAATTTGTTGCTTACAAATGAGCCATAACAACTTGATAATTTGATTGTAAATCAGGGCTGTTTTTCTGTCCATTTGGTTTCCACCCCAAGTGGTCAAACATCACTTGATGCAAATTTAAAGTTTCCTTTCTGCTTTGATGTGGCAGCATTCACTTACTTCATACATTCCATCCAAAAGATACAGAAGAAATATTCTCTGTAGTATCATCCACATTACTGGTAACCTTCAGCAGATCTGGGCTAAAAAATGAACTTTTTGACTATAACAAACATAAAAAAGGGAGCTTTGCATTTATTTTCTTGGAACAATACGTCCATTTATGAGGTTTTGGTGTCTGGTAAGAATAGTATCTAGTACCTCAGGGCATTCAAATATCTCAAATACTTTGTTAATATATTTTTATCAGATCAGCACTGTCTGACTTTAGTATCAATGTGTCAGTGTCATTCTCATGAAATAATTATTTACAGTAGATTTGTAAACTAGCTTTAGAGATTTTGATAGTCTATGATCAAAATCATCTGCAAGTCATCTGCAGATATGTATATTCTGTGTAAAGCTAACTCAAGTCACAGACTACGTGTTGGACAGTGTTATATACACTATGTTTATGCTGTATTGTATATGCAACAGCCTCTGATCAGCCAATCTCATCTTGGTATTTGCTGGAGTTCAACATTGAGTTTATTGTTGTATTTGTCACAAGACTCTGACCTTGTGTTAACAAGAGGATGTCTGTTTTTCTATGTAATATTTTAACAACAGAAAAGTAAACTTAAGTATCCAAATGCTCTGGGCCTAAACGTGAATAAGCTTCAGTCAGCACATTTAAACAGGTGTGATAGCTTTACCGTCTGTGTTATCTTGTGGTATTGCACCATTATTATAGCTTTAACCTTGTGTTTTGTTTTGTTTCCTGACTGTTTTCATTGTTCAAACGGCTTAAGCACTCTTTTGTGAGGATTGTTAAATGCACAAACTTATTGTACCACTTTTACTTCCATGTTCCCTTGTAATATTTTCTACATTTGTGGCCACATTAGACTTGAGTGATTATTATTATTATTTTTTTAATGCAAATTATATAGTGTGCAGGTGGTAGTTGTGTCTTGTTGAATTTAAAGCTCTTCAATGCTTCAATCTGCTGTATTTCACGCTGATAGTCTGTGGGCTGATCTTACTTCAAACGGTTGACAGTATTAGTGTCACTGCCAAGCCTGCTGCACCTTGTAGAGGGTTCCTCCACATGTATTTACTCAGCATCCTGTTGCATCACCCTTCACAAAACTTCATCCACAGAGTTGCAGGTAATTCCTGGACGTTTCTGTTTTTTTTAATTAGTTGATTTTGTCCGTTAGTCCTGCTGTTAATTGTACAGTAGCCTGCGTTATGCTACTGAAGTGCTTTCATCTTTGCACTAGCAGCTTTAAGGACATCAGAGCCAGGGACATTCAGTGAGGACATCAGCAAGATGAGCGCTGTAACCATGGTTACTGGTCAGTTGACGGTGCCTTGTGACTCACTTAGTAATCATATTCACAACTGTGTTTTTCTCCAAGAATGTTAATGCCCAATATGGTTGTTGTTCTGCAATATACAGTGAGAGCTATGCAGCAAAACATACTCAGTTTTCTTCTGCAATCGTGGAGAGTTGTTATTTCACATTACTCCAAAAATATGCATTACTGTAAGATGACTAACAGTTTTAGACATTAGTAGGCCAAATGTTATATTATGTTGTACCTAACCTTATGTACTTTTACATTTTAATGTATTTCATTCATCCCGGTTTCATTCTTGTAACAATCAAACATTTAAAATTCCTCAAACATTCATAATAGCACTTGAAAAATGCCTTTTCTAATGAATTCCTTTTGTTTTAACTAATAGTATCAATCATTTTACGTTTACGTTATGACTCTGTTATAGAGACAAATGAATGTGTTATTACTTACAGCTTGACTCTGGTCAAATTGAAATAAATAAGCATACCACTGTGATTTGACAGTTGTACACTGTTGCTGGTTTTAAGTTTTTGATGTGGATATAAAGTTATATAAATTATATATTCCTCACTGTATAAATTAGGCCTATATTTTCAACACTATCTGTAGTTTAGCCTGAAACACGATTTCAGCAGTATACACCATGTAAAATTTCTGTGCACAGTTCCCTTTAATAAACTGCTGTTTGAATTAGAAAATGGCTCAGATGCATCATTTTACAGACACTATAAGGCCTTATCTATCTAGCAAATGGATTTCCTACAACATCCATGTCAGGTAAGTGTCTGAAAAATAAATAAACCTGTAAATATTAGATCATGGCAATGTGGACAGCTGCCTCAGGGCAGTAACTGGTTTGTGGCAATTTAACTCATTGTAATAATGTAGAATATGCACCACTAAAGCATAGTGTAGTCACCATGAAGGCAATACACAGATAGCACAGTTTTAGAAGTAGAGAATGTTTTCATTTTGTTGAAGTTACATTGCATCAAGGTAAAATATAAAACCAGAGAAAACACGAAAACTGTAAGACAAATACCAACATATGTAAAGTAACAAATATATACAACTACTCGAATTAAATAACAAATAAAATAGAGGGCATAGATCATGTTGTCCACATTTTTAAAGCAGTAGTTAAATAAAGAAACATGAATATTGACAGCTGTCAGTGGGACGGCCAGATGAGTCACACTCTCGTCGATCAACTCTCGTCTCGCGAGAATACACTGCGCCCAAAGAATTATGGACGTCGGTGGGAACGGTGGTGGGCTTCCTGTAAACAATAAACAGAGAGCTATGCTACCTAATAAAAGCAGGGGCGAATTCACCCGCAACCCAAGAAAAGATTCAGAGGTACGTGAAAAGAAGTTTGAGATTAATTTTCCTTGTGAACTTTAATAAAGAGACGAGGCCTTTTCTGCTGTAACAACGTGAGCTAGCTCTGTCAGGCTAGTGTAGCTTTACTACTATCTCTAACTCTTCGACGCAAGCTCGCAACCGCAGCTGAGGTTCTTAAGATTGTTGAAATAATGAACCTGTGATTGTGCAGTGTGTCATTTGTAGTCCAGTGTTACTTTATGTAGTGTTTGAGCAGCGGTGTAGACTAACAGGGGCTAGCTGTCTGGTGTTAGCTAGTCACAGGCCAGACTGAACTGTCTGTCAGGACTCCAGTGGCGACCTGTTGAAAACTAAATCTTCCAGGTCCTGTTTGCAAACAGGCTTCTTCTTTCTAATCCATTGCTCTGGTGTGTTTATGTAGTTTCAATACACATGTGTTGACCATGGATCCTGCAGAGAAAGCAAAGAGAGTCACTGCTTTCTAGCATGACATTGGGAGATTTCTGGTGAATTTCATTTGCAGAATTCAGGTTTTTTTTTTTACCCAGTGAATGGGGAGATTTCACCTCTTGTAATCTTTTGAATAGAGATTATAACTCCAGTTATAACCATAATAGCGCTAAATGTGATTCAAATGAGTTTCTGATCAACAATCTGTTCCTTCTCACAGTGTTGAACTTTACAAAGTCCAAGTAGAAACACTTTAATGTAAAATACACTGCTTTACAAGTAAAAGTTAATCATTCTGATCCACTTGCATGTATAAGTGGTGGCGTAGTGAATTGGGCACATTTGACAGATGTATTATTATGTAAATAGACAGTTATGTGCCACATGCTCTAACACCAAAATCATTTTCTGGGATCCTCAGCAGTTCACTCTCATACAGTCAATCTTTCCGATGTTTTGTATTTATGCTTTTTAATGCTGTACATCTTTATTATGTTTGGCACAAACTTGGACCACAATTTGACCAGTTTAAAGTTCAGTCCACATCAGATCAGACCCAGATCCAGATCTAACACATACACATTTGTTTTTATTGATCCAGTTCTTGAGACTCTGAAACATTCAAAAAATACATTTTCAAAACACAAACACAAAGCAAATTAATTTCCTGGTTATTTAGGATAATACATAGACCTTATAAAAAGAGTTTTCATAGGGAATTATATTTACATTGATCAGCAAAGTCTGTATATTAGTCTCATTAATCATTAACCACAAGGGGCAAGTTTTTTGTGTGTGTGTGTGTGTGTGTGTGTGATTTGAGTGAACTCCCCCTTTAAGCTTGTAGTTGATTGATTATTATCACTCTAAAGTAATAACAAATCATAAGGGAATAACATGTGTTTTGTTTGTGTGCAGGGGCTGTCTGAGTCTCCAGACCTCGAGTTTGAATATGCTGATACAGACAAGTGGGCTGCAGAGCTGTCAGGTGTGTGTCTCATTATATCATCATGGAAATTGAGATATTTAGATAGATTGATATTTATATGTTATTTATGTATGTTTCAGAGCTGTACAGTTACACTGAAGGACCAGAGTTTGCTCTCAACAGGAAGTGCTTTGAGGTGGAATTCAGAACACATGGTATGTAGTTAAACCTTCATATACTCAAATCTTAATTAATTCATCGTAAACAATGTATTACATCTAAGATTAAGACGGTTTCTTAAATTTATTACATCCTCCTCTTCTGTGTCTTAGTTTCTGATAAGAAGTGGACAGAGCTTGATGCAGCTCAACACAGAGCTCACGCCATGCGCCTGTTGGATGGCCTGGAGGTGATTGCCCGGGAGAAGAGGCTGAAGGTTGCCAGGGCTATTCTCTACATGGCTCAGGGTCAGTCCCCATCTCTAAAAAGGGTTTTAGCATGAAGTGATGAACAAGAACGACAGAATGAACGATCAAGCAGGCTATTTTTGTTTCTCTCTATATTTCACCGTGGTACATTTTGTTTCTCTTTAGGAACGTTTGCAGAGTGCAGCTCTGAGGCTGAGGTGCAGCATTGGATGAGATACAACATCTTTCTGCTGCTGGATGTGGGGACCTTCTCTGCTCTGGTGGAGCTGCTCAACATGGAGATTGAGTATGTTCTCCATCACTTTTCTAGCCATGCAGAAGCCAGCCTAAATCGCTTATGCCTGGTTTTTGCTACAAGATGTCATTCTGAGCCTTTATAACGTTTATATTCTCCCTTACAGTAACAGCGCTGCCTGTAGTAGTGCTGTCAGAAAACCAGCCATCTCCCTTGCCGACAGCACGGATCTCAGAGTGCTGCTTAACATAATGTACCTGATGGTGGAAACGATACAACAGGATGACCCAGCTGACAAGCCTGAATGGAAAATCATCAGGGAAACCTTCAGAGCAGAACTAGGTAAGTTTCACCAGTGTGAAAAAAGCTTCAGTTGTGTCATGCGTCTCGACAAAAACTTATAATGTATATAACTTCCACTCTTTAATGCAGGATCTCCTATGTTCAACAACGAACCCATTTCTGTCATGCTCTTCGGTATGGTTACCAAGTTCTGCAGTGGTCATGCCCCTCACTTCCCAATGAAGAAGGTGTTATTGCTATTGTGGAAGAGTGTACTGGTGAGAGACAGAAACATCTGCCATCCATGACCGTTAACTCTAATTCTGCTCATGTTAAATGCTCCCACATGAACTTACAACAAAAAAAATAACATCTGAAGTTAAGAGACATTAAAATCCTGTCTTCTGTTTCAGTTTACACTCGGAGGGTTTGAGCAGCTGCAAAGCATAAAGGTTCATAAGCGTGTGGAACTGGGTCTCCCCCCTCTACCGGAGGACAGCATTCGAGTCATTCGCAGTATGAGGGCCGCTTCTCCTCCTGCGTCTGCATCCGACCTCATAGAGCAGCAACAAAAACGGGCCCGCCGTGAACACAAGGTACACATTACTGCTGCTCCCTGTTCTCAAAGAAACTGATTGGAGGTTAAAACTAGTTACAAGTGTATCACTGCATTGATTATCTGCCAGTGATGACATTTCATTGAGTGCCAGATATCATTAATAACCCAGTTAGGATAATACTAATTTAAATGGCATGTGAACAGCAGCAACCGTAATACAATAACTAAAACATGGAGCATAGATTTTTTGTCAAAGTATTTAAGGGTATTTTGGACACACACATATATATATATATATATATATATATATATATACCTTAATTGAACTGTGACTATCAGGGTATTTACACCAGATTTTAAGTCTTATTTTGCATTTGTGCTGTTGTCAGGTTCTTGCAATGCTAAAATGCTCATATGAAATAACACCCTCCTAAAACTTCTACATTTAGTATCTGAGAAAACCGATTACATTTAGACATGATTTTAATTGCTGATAATAATGCGTTCATCATACACATCTTGCCCGATGTTACTGTTTTTTAGGGGAATGACTTGTCTTATTGGTTCATTTAGGCCTTGATACACTGTGGCAATATGTCTTATCTGTCTCCCCTTCACAGCTGAGCTTCATCACAATGTGTCAGTGTCTTAACTGTTTCCTTGTTTTCTCACGCAGGCATTGATAAAACAGGACAACCTTGACGCCTTCAATGAAAAGGATCCCTACAAGGCCGATGACTCTCGTGAGGATGAAGATGACAACGATGACAATGACAACTCTATAGAGGCAGAGACATTCCCTCTAGAGAGGGACGAGGTAATGCCTCCACCTATTCCTCACCCTCCGTCAGAGAGAGTGTCCTTCCCCAAAGGACTGCCGTGGGCTCCTAAAGTCAGGTACTGCTCAGTCTGATAACAATACCAAATGTGTTGACATTTAGGTTGTGCTAACACTGTAACAATATAACTGTTATGTACCTGTAATGAAATTTCAGTAAAGCTGATTGGTTGATTCCTTCCTCGTGTGTGTATGAATGTTATCAGATTAAGGTGTGTTGAAATGATTGTTTTTGTTCCAACAGGGAAAAGGACATTGAAAATTTCCTGGAATCAAGTAGAAGTAAATTTATTGGTTACACACTTGGGAAGTAAGTCTTCTCCTCGTTGGCTTCAAACAAAAAGTAACTCGAGACTATTCTACGCTGAAATAATGCTTTAACGCATGGTTATTCTTGTGCATGTCTTGCAGTGATACAGACACAGTTGTTGGTTTGCCCAGGCCAATTCATGAGAGCATAAAGACGTTAAAGCAGGTATCACATTGCCATTTACTTCATGTTTTGTTAAATCTATTCTAAAGCTATTAAGATATTAAGGAATTGAAAAAAAATATATGCTTTTTTAACTTTTTTTCCAGCACAAGTACGTCTCCATTGCTGAGATACAGATTTCAAAGGAGGAGGAGTTTCAGAAAACCCCTCTGTCTGGGGTAAGTGGAAACAAAAATCATTAACATCAATAATTCACATCTATAACTTGTTGTTGTTATTATATCCTGGAGGGACAAGACTGCTGCTTAATTTGTTTGCTCCTTCCGGTACACAGACTATAGCTGGCCAAGTTACAAAGAATAAATGTTACATCCTTGCTAAGTTTTGAACTAAGCACACTACTACTACTCATGCCCTCCCACATCTTGGCACTATGCGGTTTTTATCATCCCACATGTTTCTAAATAAGTCCTACGATGCACTGACTTTAAGTCTTTACTCCTTACCTGGCAGAAGAGACCAAACTGTTTTGCGGTATTATGATAATGTCTCTCTTTTTCTCCTCTTTGTCAGGGTGAGGAGGAGGTGGATATGTCCTCCACTGAGCTGCTCTATCAGGGAATTCTCCCCAGTTTACCTCAGTACATGGTAAGTGATAGCTCCAAGCACAGTTTACACTTTGGTACTACAGACACTGTTTATTATTTACTCTTTCATGTGGTTTATATGGCTAAATGTTTCTGTGTGTTGATTTTAGCATAAAAGTAACCATACATAACTATACAGTGTATTGTACAGTTTTATATTGGGGCATATCCTGTAATCATCCTGCATTGAAAAGATTGGGTTATAGAATACTTCAGTGTGTTTCAGTTCCTTGAATTTAGGTAAATTAAGTACCATTTGTGGCATAGGCATTAGTGTGTTTGGCCCTTCAGTCTCACAAGTTAAATTTCCACAGAAGCAGCAGAAATGAGAGACCTAACGCAAATAGGATAACTGGTGCATTAGATTCACAGCCCCTACACAATATCATTACTTTATCTGTGTTAATAATCACAGTTGTTTTACAGCACAAATATAATATAGCTAATGTAGCCCTGCAGAAGCAGACATGAGCTTCCATGTCCGATTGTTTTGTAACTGACTTCATGGTTTGTCTTTCTGAATGTCAGATCGCTCTGCTGAAGATCTTGCTCGCAGCAGCTCCGACTTCCAAAGCCAAGACGGACTCCATCAACATCCTGGCAGACGTGCTGCCGGAGGAGATGCCGTAAGTGATGAAGTGCCTCTAAAAGGGTTTACCAGCTGTGCCAGTTCCTTCTCCAGTGCAGCATTATGTTCTGAACAAGGAAAATATCCTAAGTTTAGTAACAATTCTACTATTAGATTATACCTGAAGCAGGAAAGAATTACTGGAATCGGCTCTACTTTTAAATGTAGTTACACAGTTAGTGTTACTGGAGTTTGCGTCAAACAAGATTGTTTTTAAAGAGTTCTGGTTACTTAATTTTTGCTTCCCCTTCAAGAAACAGCAGCAGGAGTGATACTATGAGGACATTTTCACAGTACGGACACGTAACCACATCAAGGAAATTTATTTATCATTATATAACACAAGGCTGTGAAACAAAATGAAAGTTTGTAGTTTCCTCCTTCATTACTCAGTATTGTGATGAGTAATGTGAGTTTGTATATTTTTATAGTATTGTCACCATATAAACTGTGGAGACCCCAGCAAAAATAGTGACTTATACAGGAGTTAATGGGGATCTTAATAAACAAACAAACAAGCTACACACATAAAAAAATAATTAAATTCAGTTTGAGCCTCATCAATGTCAGATCATCAAGGAGAAATGTAAGATTATATCGCCAAACGTCTGGTTAGCAGGCTTGAAAATATTTAACTAATAACTAAATATGATAGAACAGGAATAGAAATGAAAGGTTGACTGACCTGAATAAACTCTGTAGGTTTTGCTCTGAGGATCACAGGGAGACTTAAACATACTGGGTCAGAATTGGTCAGTATGTACACAAAATGTTCACAAAAGTTCCTCTCAGGTGCTTTAAAAAGGTGATTGATCTGTTACGTCTGACTGCAGGACCACAGTGCTGCAGAGCATGAAACTTGGAGTTGATGTGAATCGACACAAAGAGATCATCGTGAAGGCTATCTCTGCCATCCTGCTGCTGCTTCTGAAACACTTCAAACTTAATCACATCTACCAGGTACGGATGTCACACACTTGTTTTGTCACAATTCAGACTTTTGTGGTAACTGTATCAGATATTTCCATAAATATTTGAAAAGATTAAAGAAACTTTTAATCTCAATCTTGTTTTTATTTAATATAATTATACTTTTATAAGGAAATGTCTTTGTTTACTTATCTCATAGTTTGAGTACATGGCTCAACACCTGGTGTTTGCCAACTGCATCCCCCTCATTCTGAAGTTCTTCAACCAGAACATCATGTCTTACATCACAGCTAAAAACAGGTACTTTCAATGCTTCTTTAAAGGATCAGTGTGTTGGATTTAGTGGCATCTAGCGGTGAAGTTGCAGATCTGACTGAATACAGCTAATTTTTTTAACCATTTACAATAAATGTCAGTGAACTGTTGCCATAATTTCACCGCTCTTCATTTTCTTTCCCTAATAGTATTTCAGTACTTGACTTCCCTTATTGTGTGGTGCATGAGCTCCCGGAGTTAACTGCAGAGAGTTTGGTGAGTTTTTTTGTTGATTTCTAACTGTGTTTTGAGTGTTTCTTTGACTTCTGGTGTCACATTTGAAGTCATTTTAAACCTGAATGTATATATATATTTTTTTTTCTTACAGGAAGCGGGAGACAACAATCAGTTTTGCTGGAGGAATCTGTTTTCCTGTATTAACTTGCTGAGGATCCTCAACAAACTGACCAAGTGGAAGCACTCCAGAACAATGGTGAGAGCTCAGCAAATAGCATTCAGGTCATATCGTCTTATCATAAACTAAAAATATAATCTTTTATATATATATATATAATGTTCTCCCTCCCAGATGCTGGTGGTGTTTAAGTCCGCTCCCATCCTGAAGAGGGCGCTGAAAGTCAAGCAGGCCATGATGCAGCTGTATGTCCTCAAGCTGCTCAAAGTGCAGACCAAATACCTGGGACGCCAGTGGAGGAAGAGCAACATGAAGACCATGTCGGCCATTTACCAGAAGGTCCGACATCGTCTCAACGACGACTGGGCGTACGGGAACGGTGAGTGGAAACACGAAGAATACATCGTAAATTCAGTGATGATAGGAGGTTTGGCCTGGAGAAAGAAGGAGGATTATATAAAAGCTGTAATAAATATTATGTGTATATTATTGATTTGAGGTACATTTCCAGTCTTTTGCAGAAAAGTGTATTTGGTCTTTATTAGAAATGAGACAATTAGTAGAAAAATTAATTAATCGACTGACAGAAAATTAATTGGCAACTATTCTGGCAATCAAATAATGTTTAATGCATTATTTCTGCTTCTATACTGGGAATATTTTTTTGTTTTCTTAGTCTTTTATGAATGAATGTTTTTGGGCTTCGGTCAGAGAAAACAAGCTGTTTATTTTATCTTGGGTTGAGGAAATTACGATGGTATTTTGCCATCATTTTCTATCATTTATAGACCATTAGTTAGATTAATGAGATCAATAAGTATTAGAAATAATCCTTAGTTGCAGCCCTGGTCCAAAACAAGTTCAGAATTGTTAGGACAAACTCTGAGTTGTATTTCCGCTCAGACCAAAGTGGACTAAATATGAACTTCTGTTTGTCTTCCTGGAGCAGATCTGGATGCTCGTCCCTGGGACTTCCAGGCCGAGGAGTGTGCTCTGCGGGCCAACATCGAACGCTTCAACAGCCGCCGCTACGACAAGAGCCACAGCAACCCGGACTTCCTGCCTGTGGACAACTGCCTGCAGAGCGTTCTGGGACAGCGGGTGGACCTGCCCGAGGACTTCCAAATGAACTACGACCTGTGGCTGGAGCGGGAGGTCTTCTCCAAACCTATTTCCTGGGAGGAACTGCTACAGTGAGACTCAACAACACCGTCAACATCCTCACACAAGAAATAAAACCGTTTCAATCAGGAGTTCTGACAAACCACCAACAGTGCTCTCACTGATCGATCTCAGATCACAGCATTATGTTACATGTTCTGTACAGACTGAAGGTGACGGACGGACTTTCATTCTCAAAAGTCACCCAGGTGTAAACTTCGAATCATCGCACCAATCGAATGCTTTGCGTGATGAACTATCGAGACTCTTTCCCACACTAACGTCACCCACAGTTTTTTTAATAAAATAGCTGAAAATGAATCCAGTGCTAAGTCTTGCTCCATATATGGACCCAGCCCCTACCTTACATATACAGGTGTTTGCTTTGTGTGCCTCTTACCTGCTACAAAAGGTCAGTAAGTTTGACCTCGAAGCACTACATGACAGTACGTTCACTCGTAATTTTAAAGACATTTACTTGGAATCATTTATTTTTTATTTTTTTGCATTAACTGTTAAGACTCAAACAGAAGTGTGTGCACTTTGTTGAGGCAGGGCTCAGCACATTTAAGATGTTAATAAATCTACATTTTCCTGATGCATCTCATGAGTTTACCTTCTTCAGAGAGGTGAAAAGGAATATTTATGTACAAATACAAACATGTTACTAATAGCTATTTCCTGACAGGGATACACTTCTTGTTTACCTGACTCACCCTTCGTTGTTCTGCTGCATTTGCATATGATTTGACTTTTATTTTGAATTTCTTGCCTGAGTGCTGCCTACGCACCTTTGCTCTGGGACCATGGAGGCGACCGTTTAGACCTTACCTGACCACCAGGCTGAATGGACAAGACAACACAACCTTGTTTTGTTTTTTTAACTTCATTAGTATCTTCATTTGCTTTGTTGTGTGGAAAAAATGGTTTCACATGTTCACATGATATGACTGTGTGAAAGAAATATTTCTGGTTTTTAGAGCTGCGGTTTCTGAGCTTCACTCATCAAGCTGTTTAAAACTGAATGGGATAAATCAATTTAATTGCCAGTGAAAGAACCATTTTCCTCTTGTCTTTTTTCTACTTTTCAGCTTTGTTTTATTATAAAGGTTAAGGAAATGAGAATACATGTAAATTGTGAAACTTATTTATCATGGCTTTGTCTTTGTTTTACATTGACTCAAATACTGTAATAAAATGATACTGTCATTCATGTTGCATTCGTTTATTTCATAGTGGAGAGAATGGAGAGAGGGGGGCCTCAACCTTTGAAGTATGCTCATATAACATTAAACACGTATTGGAAACAGGATTGGGAACAGTATTTCCCCTCTTTGTTTTACGGCCAGAGACGATATAAAAAAGAGATGAGATATTTTAACTGGTTACTGAAGATAATGCGCCTGAAACAAGAAAAGTTGACAATTAACACTGAGAAATCAACACAGAACAAAATGTGTCTGTATTTAAAATTTAAATTATTTAAATTGATAAATATTAGACTGCCTCATTTCTTACATTACATTCCTGACGCATTTACTCACCACAACACTGTTATGTTTCTCCCTCCCTTTTCAAATTGATTCAAATAATTAAGTCACGCCCATCTCCTCTCTGATATCAGGAAACCACACACACACATAACACAAACCTACTGAATCACTTCACCAGGAAATGAAACCAAACTTGTGATAGCCCGCCTTTCTGCACACAGACATGGCAGAGCCTCGTATCCCGATAAAGGTGAACCACCTCAGCTGTCCAATCTGCAGCGAGGTCCTCAGGAATCCTGTGACTATTCCCTGCGGACACAACTTCTGCATGCAGTGCATCCAGGACCGCTGGAACAATTCTCTCTTCAGCTGTCCTGAATGTGGCCATAAGTTTCCCTCCAGACCCCAGCTGATCAAGAACACAACTCTGGCTGACTTGGTGAGGGACACCGAGAGGTGTGATGCTGGCTGTGCGAGTGGGAAACCGCAGCATTCGGGAGTCTCCACGCAGACCCTGAAAAGACCCTGGAGCTGTACAAAAATGAAAAGCCCTTTATGTTGGAGGCACAGATGCTTCTTGGATGTTTACTGTTGCACTGATGAGCAGGTCATTTGTGCACTGTGTGCTTCAGCTGAGCACAGGGGACATACCATTGGGTCGGTGAGGGGAGAAAGGAAGAGGAAGCAGGTATGTAAAATAAACAGAAACACAAAGAATACTGCAACTTCTGCTTGGTTTTTAAAGTTGAAACCAAGCAAAGGAGACTTTACCAGCTGTAAACCTGTTAAATATGGGAACATATGAGTGAAAAAAACCCTCAAATTTTCACTGTGTGGTCAGTTAGGGGTCCCAGTGTTTAAGCCGCCATATATACAGTAACCAGTCTGTCAGTTGAGGAAAATCTGAGTCACTGCAGTTCATCCGGTGCTGCAACTTCGGCCCAGAAAAAGAATCTACATCTGCTGCATTTATACATGTTGAATCATCACTTTATTCCACATTACTTCCACTTATTTCTAACACACTTGGGAAAGCGGCGGTAATCAGTTACCTATGAATGGACCTTCACAGCCAGTTTGCAGACAAAAAAACGTGAATGGATCTAATGGTTCATACTGTGGAGAAACAACACAAAAGAAGCAGCTACTTTCCAAAGTAGATGCCCAAACAGACTTCAACAGGCACAAAAATTATGTTTTTTGAAGTTGCCAAGCCTACAACCAGTTTCACAAAACTATAAATAAATATTGTGTATTTCTATCCGACTCACACTGAAGGAGGAGCTGGAGATGAGACAGATTAAATCCAAGCAGATTCTCAAGAAACAAGAAAATAAATGTAGGAACTTGGAGAGGACTCTCGAACAGATTCAGGTGAGCAGAACATGTGACCACAGTGTCTAAAGACTGTATGTATTCATGAAAACATTTAACATAAACTCGTGCACAAAACAGGAGGAGGCGAGAGATACAGACGACTATTGTGAGAGCGTCTTGGTCAGTGTCATCGACTCCCTCCAGAGACATTACCTATCAGTGAGAGAGCTGATCAGACGTCAGGAGGAGGCTGCAGCCGCTCAGGTTCAGATCTCCCTACAGACCCTGCAGGTGAAGATTGAGGAAATGAAGAAGAGGAGTGCTGAGCTGGAGCATCTGGCACAGACCGACAACGATGTCCATTTCTTGGAGGTACTTTGATCACATCGCTACAAACTTGAATCTTTCTAATAGAAGATGTTTTAATGTCTCTGTCTCTTTCCCAATCCGCCCTCTCTGCACAGAAATGGCCCTCTCTGCAGCGCCTCTGTGACGAAGACTTTCTCCATGCTCTCCGCGGAGTTTCACAGGATCCACTGCTCCCCTTTGAGGTCACAAAGAAAGCTGTTGACAAGCTCGGGAGGCAACTTGAGGAATTTTGTGACAAAGAATTCACCTCAATCTCTCAAACTGGTATGTATCTTTGTCGACATGTGGAAATATTTTAACATCAATCATAGTTTTAATATATATTTGATGTGTGTGTGTGTGTGTGTGTGTGTGTGTGTGTGTGTGTGTGTGTGGGCATTCAATATAGCTGACGGGGGAGAGCAGCAGGAGTCAGGAGGAGAGACAGAGCAGGACGACTTGCAAGGATGTGAAGCCAGTACCTCACAGTCCCATGGTTTGTATTTAATACAGTTATAATTTCAGAAGAATGTTTTCAGCCTCCTCTGTTGAAACAATTTCACCAACATATGAAACACTGTGAAACCCCACCACACAAAGGCATTCAAATTCAGAGTATAAATCTCTCTATATATATGAAAGATAAACTTCAAATAACCCAAAATGCAACAAATTGAGTGCAAACCTACTCTTTTATTACTAAAAGAGCTCAACATATTTCAGCATGAGATCTTAGACGAGCACTTTTTGATCGGCTGATTATCTTCAGGTGTAAAACACCACTGACAGAAACCAAGAAACCCAAACCACAATATCATAGCTACAGCGTACAGTAGGCCTATGTATGAAACGTTACCTATAACTTTAACAATATACATGGTGGCTTTCATTATCCAGAGTATGTGTGATAAATTAAGGTATAAAGTTATTATATTATTATTATTATTATTATTATTATTATTTGTGCTGTGGACAGAAGGAGCGTTGTAAGCATCACTAAAGTTTAAGCAATAAAACTGTATTTTGTGGTTCATCCTAGGTTTACTGAATTTTTATATTTAAAAGCTTTTTTTGCCAAACATCCTTATTCTGGAAGAACCCATGTGTCATGTCAGTAAACTAACGACTAAAAATCTTAATTTAATAAAGAAAAATGTAATTCTATGGAGCCTCTTTTATCATTTTCTTTATTAATAATAAAGGCTGTGAGCCAGTTTCAGGGTCCTCTTATTGGCTTACTGAGACACTACTGTGACAGAGCCATCATTAATGTTACAAGTAACTCTGCTTTTACTGCTATGACAAGTTTTTCAGCAGTGGCACTTAATGATGTTGTGAAATTGTCTCATAGGTCTCACTGGCGTTAACAAGACTCTGACTGATCGGACTGCAGAGCCTAAAACCAGAGCAGAGTTCCTGCAGTGTGAGTTTATCCTCTTATGCACTAGAATAACACTTATTAGTACTTTGGTCCATGATACTTTAACCTCACATATAGACAGGACATACTCAAGTATTGTACTTCAGTGCAGGTTTCAGGTACCTTATTTAAGTATTTGTGGTTTATATTACTTCTTATTACTTCTTCTAATATTATTTATGCTTCCCTACATTTATCTGGTAGCTGTGGGTACTAGTTGCTGTTAAAGTTTAAGTTTATACAACACACAGTATTATATATAATACAACATATTAAAGATCAAATCAGTGGTTACTGATCTTTTTGGCTTGTAACCCTAAAAAAAACCTAGATTTGGGCCTTTTGTCACGTTGCCGATGTCAATGAGTTGTAAACTGTTCCATCAGACACATTTCCCCTCTAAACTTCTCATTTAAATATCTCAAATAGTCAAATATTTCACAATAAAGAAAAGATTCCAGAAAATATTTAAAAAATGAACTTTTTTATTCTTTCATCTCACATTAGCCCACTCACGACCTCTCAGATTTATTTTATGACTCTTTGGAGGGGCCCTACCCTTAAGTTGGGAAACTGTATATAAAGTTAAAGTTATCTCCACCTGGAGCAACTGCACCAGTAAAATGTGACTTACACATTGCTGCATCAGTAACAATCTAATACTGTAATATAATTCATAAATAAATAAATAAATATAAAATCAGTCAGTGTATTTCTTCTGCAGGACGACTACTTTTACTTTTAACTTTCTACTACATTTTGAGTAATAGCTCTAATCTCATCCTACAGGCAACATGTGGTCCAGCTTGACTCTTATCACCACAACTGTTGTAGAGTCTGCATACACGACACTCATAGGGGCACATAAAACGTATTGACTCTAGATGCTACTAGAACTAAAGGCCTCCCATTGTAACCTTTGACCTCTCAGGCCATAGACCATTCACATACAATGGATACTGCTGCCTAGAAGACGAAAATGTGTTCACAATAGTACTTTTACTTGCAATGGAGTATTTTGACATTGTCTTATTGATACTTTTACTTTACTGAAAGATCTGAACCCTTGTTTCTCCACTACATGCAGACCGATCCAACCACGACTGTATTCTCAAGGTGCTCATTTTTAACTTCACATCTTTTTTTTTTTTTTCTCAGATGCATGTGTCCTCAGCCTGGACCCTGCTACAGCTCATGAGGACCTGACTGTTTCCGTAGGAGACAACGAGGTGAGGATGAACCTTGTCAGGATAAAAAACCCGCCAATTCGTTCCCCCAAGAGGTTTATCCACCGACGGCAGGTGCTGTGCAGGGAGGGGCTGCAGGCCGAACGCTGCTACTATGAGATCGAGATGGAAGGAGACAAGGCTGAGATTGCCCTCGCCTACAAAGGAATAGACAGAAAATCCCGCACTCCGCTGTCAGCTTTTGGGGCCAATGCAAATTCCTGGAGTCTTGATCGCTCCACAAAGTACTCTGTGAGCCACAGAAAGGACAGCATCCAGCTTACAACATCCCCCAGTCATCATAGGATCGGTGTTTATCTGGAGTTCAAAAAGGGAACTCTGACGTTCTATGAGGTGTCAGACAGCATGAAGTTTCTTTATAAGGTTGAAGCTGAATTCACAGAGCCGTTGTACCCAGGCTTCTGGCTCGGAGAGAAATGTTGCATCAGGATCTGTGATTTGAAATTGGACAGACTGTAAAGGCCTGAGTTTTTGAACTATTTATCACACGGAGCCATGAATGAATTACCTCATTAGAAGCATTTTTTATTGTCTTCTGAATCTCTCTAACTTAAACTACGATATATCTCCGGTTTATGGTTCCCCCCGTTGCATCACCTCAGGGACTTTGTTACTGGACTGTCAACTGTACAGACGAATTCCACATAACATGTCGATCACCTTTTTATAACCTGATATAAGTCTGCCTGCGTTTTTTATGTTACTTCAACTCACTATAACTTAGAAGGAAATATGACTAGTAGATATAATAAAATGCAGTTAAACCATAGTCTACAGCATGTCAGCATGCTAACTCGCTCATAATGTCAATGCTTATATGCTTTTAAGTTTAGCAGGTATAATGCTCTCCATGTTCACCTTCTTAGATTAACTTATTAGTTTAGTACTTTAGTGCTAATTAGTGCAAAACAAAAAGTACAGCAAAGGCTAATGGGAATGTCATTAATTTTGTTATTATGTTTTTTTATTAAGTGAATTGAAATGTTGACCAGATGATGGAACAAGAGTCACCAAGAGATTACAATTCATCCTGAGGAGCATGAATGTGTGTACCAAATTTCATGGCAAAGGTCGACATTGACATCCACAATAAAAATGTCTTCCACTGTGGAAAAAACACACGACAGATTTTTGACTCCGTTTTGAACCCGAAAAATCCAGAAATACGACAGCAGCTTGTCCACTCTTTATTATTAATATTTTTGATGTTCACAATTTTTACAACAATTTGTCAGTATCATACAATCGTAATACGACTGAGAAAAGAGGGAGAGAAGCTGTAAAAGGACATTTCTAAACGTGTCTCCTGTACAGACAGTGCTTGAAACATGTGCTCAGTAAGGCCCTGCACCCACAGGTAATACACACACACACACACACACACACACACACACACACACACACACACACACACCTTACTATAGGCTATATACATACGCACACACACTCCAGCACTTGTAAGGAAGAGTTGTAACATCCCTTTGGCTATAAGGGGGCAGTTTCTAATCATTGCTATGGACTGACACTAATGTGTCAAGCTTCTTTGAGCCTAAATTATTCTTCAGTTTAATAACTTGATATTGCTTTTACACAGACCTTGAATTTACTGCTATGAGGACAACAAAACAAATGCTAACTTTTTTGCAGTCCTAGTGAAAAAAGTGCATTAACATTCATTATTACTGTATGTTACATTTACTGCTAAAACAGTTACTTTTTAAGACATTGATATACGTCACATGGATAAAATCTAACTTCAGAATAGTTTGATTACACAAGATTATTTACAGATTCAGACAACAGAGAGTTCGCTACATGGTGCACTTTCAGCAGGAAGTGCCTGGCTCACACAGACTAAAACAAGACAAGAGATGAAACAAGACGTAAACGTTTTAGCCACACTAACCGTCCTGCGAGACAGTAACGCTCTTTACACACAAACTGTTGAAAGATGAAGAGACACATCTGCTGTTCTTAGACCTACCACTAGTTCTGCCTGAGGGTGGGACCATGTTGTCACATGAATAACAACGGTTTATTCTCTGAACAGTAGCTGTTTGAGGACAGTCAGATTGTCAGGCTCAGCTACATAATAAAGGTGAGTTTTAGGTGTGGTGTGATTGCATACAAAGGTGATGAAAAGACATGAATGGATGCAGAAAACAGGTGTGCTCATATCTTCTTTTTAACTTAGGTTTAACTGGTTAGCAAAGTTAATTAAACTCAATCAAATACTGTCGAATAAACTTTAAAAAACACCCATAAACACCCTCCTCTTATTGTTTAATTACTAACAACTGAGTTGGAAAAACTGAGTTATAATTCCAAGATTTGAGATGTTGTTAATTTCTGACAGCAATAATATCTCCCATTTGGTGAAAATAGAACATTATACATTGATAGACTCAATTTAATTAACAAACTGCTCCAAGAGTAGCTAACTGACCACTAAGGTTAGCAGCTGGGTTTCTTGTTCTTCACATTATCGTGTGAATGCATCATTTGTTAGCATTATAACACGGAGCCGGTGTTAGCATGGTAGCATATCGGGTGTGCTAACATGCTGATATTCCATATAACATTTAAAATGTTGTTCGTATTATAGTAATTATCTTGCATTTTGACCTGTAGGTGGCACCAGATGAAAAGTCATCCGTTGGTAAGCGCAGGTGGTGCTAGTGTGGCTAAAAACAAGTAGACCAGTAAACCTAAAGTGGAGACAGGTGAGTGGACATCGCCCGCCAGAAAAAACACACAGCTCTCATGAACACAACAGAGAACCAGCCGCTGCCTATAAAAGACACGTCACACATCACCTCCAGCTCCCAGCAGCGTTTTCACATCCCACAACAAGAATTAGCTACACAAACTACAAAATAGAGAAGTCTTTAAATATACAATTTAAATAAGCGTCACACAAGATGAAAATATATAGTATATATATATATTATATATACTGGTCACTTTTAAAAGATAAATCTTTGTTTTTTTAACACACCTACATACACTGCAAATATACAGGAATATAAATATAGTCCATTTAATCCTTAACACCATGGCTTTGAATATTGTGATAAAAAAATAAATAAAGGTATCCTCTTCCATGTAACAGGAACTTGAATGTGCTCAGTTTCAACTTGTTGACAGTTTTGCAGTTTTTGTAGTTTTACTATTTACTATCAGTGTGTACAAAAATGAAACAGGTTCGAGGATGAATGTCAGCTGGTTTAACATCCGTTAAACCTGGAGTCAAAGATCTTCATCACAACTAATGTTACCGTCTGCTTCAGTAACACTTCAGGAGGTTTATTATTCCACAGATATACAGAAACAGTGTGCATTTGAGCATACGTGTGTGCATGTATTCGTTTTTTTTTTTTATTACTGATGAGTTGAATCTTCCATTATTTGGATTTTTGCTTCTCAACTTCCTAAATCTTTTGGTCCTATTTCATGTTCATTATGTTTCTTGTCCATTAGTGAACATAGTTTGTGCATTCTTGTTTGTGCTCCAATGTAAATATATATTGCTTACTCATTGTGTGGGACAGCAGTTATTTCAATTCCACATGTGCATAATTTAAAACAACAGGTCAGCAGTTAGGGTTAGTATTTGTTTCTTGTGCACAATAATTGTGTAAAATCTATTTTGTGCTTTTGTAGGAAGAAAGTCAAAACTGCATCAAGCAAGCGATGGACATTTGTTTCAAAGTCACGTGAACAAGCTGTGCTTTCTGTCACTGAAGAAGCTCTTTCTAGTTCACCTTCAACACAATTTGATATATTTCTATATCTCCTTTCTGTTATTCAGTAATATAAATATTTAGATTTCAAGTGTTTTATTGTCTTGTTTTTACTCTTTGGTGGAGAAACTTAAATGAGTTATAATGTGCGTGTAACAGAGGGTGACACTGTGGCTTTAGAACATAAATCTTATCCTACATCGTATTACTATACTGTACAACACTGTTTACATAATGAACAATAATGGCTACACACAAAACACAGGGAAATGGAAGAGAACGAAACATAAATGGATGGTCTTTAGAGCAGCATTAAGCATAGTTTACAATACACAGAGCCCTGTGAAAACATGATGAGAAGTGTTTTGTAGTTCAGGGCATCCGAACAGAAGTGTATGACGGACACACTGAATCGCTGCATAAGATCTAATAGACAATAACTTTTTCTGTGTAAGACCGTATGGCTTTAACACACAGTAGCATTATAGAGGGCAGCAACAGAAACACTGACAGACTTTAAACCTTAAAATAAGTGAACTCACATTCATCTCGGCTCTCTGTGCCAGTGTACTGAGTGAAAACCTGTTCAATCAGCAGGACCACACCGGCTCCTCTACATTCATCCTTTCAGGTCCCCTGCACTGTGCAGACAGGAATGTGCATTAAACTGTGTGTGTGTGTGTGTGTGTCAGGTGAGGGGGGGTGTCTGCTGAGGATCCTTCTACTAAGGCAAAGAAAAGCAGATCACATAACTTCATCTTAAACCCTGTGATGTTAAATACAGAATAGATAGAGATTTACAGTGCGTCACTGTCAATCTAACCCTGATTTCAGTGTCTGATCTACTGTTATAAGAGTGAACTTTTTTTCTCCTGCTGCAGGTGTTATTTATTGATGCGTGTTGGGCGGCTACATACAGTTTTGTGGCATTAGCAGGGCAGTGGTGGGTGTTCTCTGCGCTGCAGTGACCCCCGGTGGAGACTTTATGGCTGAAAGGTAAACTGTGCTACAGGACTGGGTGTCAGAGGGGCGTTTGGATAGCAGTCAAGAGTCAGACTCCGGTGTGGCAGGCGTGGTCGGTGTAGTCGGTGTGGTGGGGCTGATGGCAGTGTTCTGGTAGCTCGTACCGTAGCAGCTGTTTGGAGACAGGGAGTTGGGGTCCAGGGCTTTGGTCCCACCTGGAGTCAGGAAGGCTTTGCGAGCCGGCACTGCTAACGGCGCCTCGCCAGGCTTTGCACCTAGGATGAATCTGGCCTCGTCCTGCTCCTCCAGGTTGGAGATGTCCTTCATCATGGTTTTACGGTAGGAGACGGACAGCTTGTTGGAGCCATCTGACATCAGGTTGAAGCGACGAGCGATGAAGACAATGGGGAGGGGAAGCATGGCCACCACGATGAGAGAGAAGCACATGGCCAGTGCCCAGGGAGGGTAGCTCTGGAAACGTTCATGAGCCTGCAGACACATTTAAAAATAAAATAAAAATGTTTCTCTAAATGGAGAGAAGCATTCAAATCTAAATCTACAGGTACAAACTGAGTTGAGCAGGTTGTTTCGTTGTTTTGGATGTCAATCTGTCGGTCAGTCCACCACTCTGGTTCAGAATGAAATATCTCAACAACTTTTGGATGGTGTGCCATAAAACTGTGTACAGACATTAACGGTCCCCAGAGGATGAATCTGGCTATCCACTGACTTTTCATCCAGCGCCATCAAATAATGACCTCCCATTCCCATAAACCTCAGCTGTACTTTGTGCTTAGTGATAGTTAACAAATATTAGCATGTTAAGATGCTAAACTAAGATTGTCAGTGTAGGAAACATACCTGCTTAACATCAGCTTGTTAGCCTTGTCATTGTGAGCCGCATTCGTTCCTATTTTACTTACATCATACTTACAGACACACATATTTTCATAAACACCAGGGTTCTTTTAGGGGACACATATTTGTCTATGAAACTATTGTACAAATTCCTTATGACAAAAATGAGATTTAAAAGAAGGATAAAGAAATTGAGGGCGTGTATAGAGGATAAAATATGTCCACAACAGACTAGACCTGCTCTATTTGAAAAGTGTCCTGAGATAACTTCTGTTATGAATTGGCGCTATACAAATGAAATTGAATTGAATTGAATTGAACACCAAAAACAATACTAACAATAATATTTATAATTACAAATATTTCAATAAAAATGTTAAAAGTTACTAATCTAAATCACCTTCTGACTCCAGACTTGGTAGATTAAAAAAAAAAATCCTTTATCAGGAAAATATAAAGAGTGTGGAATACAAAAAATCCTCAACCTCAACAAAAAGTGATGAAAGAGCACACACACAAACACACAAACACACACAAACCAAACACACAGACTGACCAGCTCTTGGACCCAGGCGTTGTATCCTGGTGGGCTGATGGCCATCTCTATGACGGTGGCTGAGATGAGCACAATGAGACACAGAGGGGAGACATACTTCCACAGGTAGAAATAAATCTTATATGGTCGGAAACCCAACATGTCCTCCAGATCCTGCATGAACCTGAACAACAACAAAAAGAAATACAGTAATGATCATATCCCTTTATAGCGTATAATTTACACTTATCTAACATTCCTCGGCTCCAGTGACTGTTTTATTTTTAGAATTCGATCTCAGGATGATTAATTGCAGACACATAGACACAAACCTACAGCTAGTTGTACCTTTTTGTACCGTAAATCCAAGCGACAGACACGTTCTCCAGGATGACGACTACAGTGAGAGGCAGTCCGGCAGAGTAATCATCAAACATGGTGACATAGTAATTCCCTGAACGTTGAACGAACAACAGACCACAGAGGAAGGCCACAACGCAGCAACACACTGAAACAAACCCAGAGAAGGGAAAGATTTAGCGGCCATTCAGAGGAAAAGATAAGAAATGGTCAAGGGTTTGGTATAATAGATGAGAAAATAGAAAAATAAAAGGGCTCCATTGCCAGTAAGTGTTTTGCATTCAGTACACTCTGAGCAATAATACAAAGCCTAATGCAGCCCATTCCCAACAGTGCTTTAATGCTGTGCTGAATAAGGGTTTAAACTACTAATAGCATACAATGGACTGACTGAGGGAGTCAGTGGGGGAGGTTTACCTGTGAAAAGCTCCTTCTGGACCTTGTAGGTATCGAGGACAGGTGTGGTGATGCCGGTCATGGTGCCGATCATGCTGCCCAGACCGAGGTTGATGAGCATGAAGAAGAACATGACCGACCAGAATGGAGACGCCGGGAAGTGGGTCATGGCTTCTGTGAAGGCGATGAAGGCCAGGCCGGTTCCCTGGACAGCCTGTAGAGAGGATCAGAGGAGTGAAATCAGGTGACAGACTGAACATGCTATGTTTTCCGTAGTAGGACTGTGCCGTACTGTACCTTGTTGAGCTCGTCCTCCAGGAGACAAGGCTCCAGACCCAGTTGGGTGAAGCTGCCCTCTTTAATGGTCTTGATGACCCCGTACATCTCAGCGTAGTCTGATGTGCTGAGATGGGAGAAGTTTACATGTGGAGGGATCAGATCGTGACTCAGGACGTTAGAGTTGAGGTATCCCAGAATCTTCTCTGCATTACTAGAAATAAAAAAGAACAGGATTATATTGACATATCGGCATATATCATAAGAAATAAAGCCAAACAAGTACAAGCAAATTTAAACATGTACATTCTGTTGAGGCAAGGGCTGCACAACTTTATATCTATTTATAGGTCAGATTATTATCCACTGTATATACAGGAAGTGCAAAGAATGCACAAATAAATATTGTATGAAGTACGGAGGTGATCTTGTGCATATTGAGTCTGCTGAGCATACAGTCTGCTTAGACTTGAGGATGACAATCACAAGGTAATATGTACATATCATTGCACAATGTTTATACAGCACTGTAATATATATGATATGTATGTACAGTAACATGATTCCAGTGTTATTTCGCAGCTAAGGAAGTCCTGTCATACAAAGTGCTTTAATCATTCACACAAAAAATATAAAGTCTGGTTATATGTGTATTTATGATCTTTAAGGTTACTTTTACTGCTCTTAGATTGTTTTCTTGAACATGCTTCCTTTCACTTTAGTTCACCCAAAATGCAAACATTTATGACAAACTCAGGAAGTCTCCACCGAGTGGAAACCTCCGTGGCTGGAAAAATTAAGCCAACATGGAAGTGCCAAAGACAAACTCTTAAAGCTATGCATAATTAAAGGCATGGTCGCTCTGAGTGACAGGTGGGTGCCGTTGCAGGCAGCTAGTGGCTTCATCTGATCTGCCTCAGCTCCATCCACGCTCCAACTCTTTGCCCATTTTTGGATTAGCTGGGAGCCGGCAGCCTGCCAAGATGGCAGAAAGTTCAAAGACATACAGTATATCTCCAAATCTTAGCAAGTAAAACCAAAATTACCTGTTTGGCTAGACACCACCCGAGGATATTAATTAATCTCTTTACTATTTTAATGTTTGTGTGTTTTTAAATGTCCTGTATATAAATGCTTATTCAGGTGTGAACTTACTCTACGACACACTTTTCATTCATGATGTTGGCCTTGAAGCCCAGCACAGCGAACACCACCAGCGTGGCCAGAATGGACGTGAGAAAGTTGATGACAGAGACGAGCACGGCATCAAAGTGACAGTTGTTATCAATCTTATTGTAACTGGAGAAGGCTATGACTCCTCCAAACCCCAGACCCAGGGCGAAGAAGACCTGGGTAGCCGCCTCTCTCCACACCTGGGGCTCCAGCATCTTCTCCAACTGCGACGGACAGAGAGAAAGGCAGTTCACAACTTTGTTATTTAGTGTTTTTCGGAATGGCTAAGTAAAGATACTGGGACAAAGCAGTTCTGTCAGTCTCACCTTGGGAGTGAACATGTGAGCGATACCATCCACTGATCCCTTCAGCATTAAACCCCTGACCAGGAAACAGAACAGCACCACATATGGGAAGAGAGAGCTGAAATACATCACCTGTGGAAGTGGAAAAGGGAAAACATACATTCAGCAAAGGGAAACAAGGGGTCTCCTTCATATGTTTCTCTCACTGTGTTATCCATCCTCTCCACTACCTTCCCAGAGGAGGCAATTCCTCTGATGACGGCGAGGCAGACGATGATCCAAGCCACCAGCAGGGACAGGGTCATTTTGATGTTGAGTCCACCGCTCTCCGCGATGGTACTGGTTGTGTTCAGGGTCTGACGGTACCAGAAATAGGTCGTAGCCGAGCTTTTCTCGCACTCCGGCTCCACAACTGTGTGTTTTGAAGACAGATGGAGATGGAGCTTTAGTTTGGGTGATAATGAAGGAATAGCAACCGGTGGAAAGATGCAGCACAGAGGTTTGAATGTCACAGAGAGGGCAGAAGGAGAACTATAATGAGACTGAGAATGTTTACTCAGAGTCAATGTCTCCATTCTCGGCTGGTTTACACCTCTCAGGCGTAAGGGGAGCTGAACAAGGTCGTCTGTGTGCTTAGTATGCCAAGCATGGACCTCCAATTCACAACACCTGAGATTTCTTACTGAGCACACCCAGTATATTTTCTTATTACATTGAGGAAATGAGATATAGAGTGTGTGGCTGTGTTTAGTCAGCAGTAATACAATTCTCCACATAATATTGCAGGATGGTCCAGATTTATCTGCGCAGATGCACACAGACACATAAACACAGATGCACAGAAAGCTCTTTATAAATGTGGTTCAATCAGGACGTTTTCTATGTCACACTGGACACAAATGCATGAGAAACAAATAGTTTCTATCCTTCCAGTGAATCATTTTACACTCTGCTGCAGTCCCTCAGCTTGAGCGTCCTTCAGTCTGAATCTCTGCTCCCCCGTCTGCCTGCCAGCCGCCTTGCTGAGTCATACACATGCTGAGTGTTTCTCGGCCGCCCTGGGGTTATGTTATTATCGCGTCTAATCAACCTCCAGAAGGTTTTAATCTGGATTATGTCTGTGAAGGTGTGACAGAAAGTTGTAAGGAAGTTAACACAGTTTGTCTGATCTGCTTATTGCAGGTGTGTCGATAGAGGCTGAGGCTGCAGGGCTTCATGTATTTAATCCTACAGATTGCAGCATGGCGGCCCATTAAGAAATTATTGTGAGTACCATATACATAAGACTCAAATGGATATTGTTCTAGATTTATCATAATCCTGATGTATGCACTCTTGATATTAGATGAAAACATCTATCTACTGTACTGTATTGTGTATTTTTTATATCCTTGAAGAGTAAACCCTTTAGATCAAGTCTGCATTCAGTTTATATGCTGTGTAAATGCAAATGTCACTCACACTTTCTTCTACTGCACATTTTTTTATCACTGAAATTGTCTATGATTTGTAGCTAGGTTAGCAGCATGGCTCTATGGATGACATGTCGCTCTAGCTTCCACCACTTGCAGACAGATAGATTAATGGATAGATTGCCATGAGATTTTGCACAGATGTTCATTGTCCCCTGAATCATGATGACCTTGGTGATCCCCTGACTCTTCTTCTGCGCCACCATGAGGTTAACATTTGTGATTTTTAGTGAAATATCTCCTGCAAAACTGATGCCTCAGTTGTAATTTGTGTGTTGTGTGAATTAGCAAATGTTAGCATGCTTACACACTAAACTAAGATGGTAAATTTGTGTTTTCCAGTGTGTAAGATTTAGTGGCATGTAGTGGTGTAGTTGCCTTGCTTAAATGTTGTTCTGAAGCATTTATTCTGTCTGTTAATTATTATTTAATGTCACTCACTGGCAAGAGTCCCATTCTTTCTGATTGGACAGTCGCTCCATGGAAGAGGATACTGGAAGGACTGGAAGAAATAGAAGATGCTCCAGCCGATGATCACATTATAGTAGAGACCCACAAAGCCACACACCTAGACAGACAGACAGACAGATAGATAGATAGATAGATAGATAGATAGATAGATAGATAGATAGATAGATAGATAGATAGATAGATAGATAGATAGATAGATAGATTGTAATTTATTGACATTTTACAGTGTGCCCTCTGCTACGTGACGTAAACAGCCAACATACTTCCAGTAAATTGTATAACAAGGTCTGCACAGAGTGAGAGAAGTATGCAAATGAGGCAGCATGCTTTGTGCATGTCCCATGTTGCTGTCAGTCTTCTGAGCAGTCGTGCCAGCCAGGACATTCACAAGCTAAATAAGGTTGAGGAAAGCATGAATAATTAAAGTGCTCTCTTTTCCACACTGATCTTCTACGAGATATTTATAGCTACTTCTGCGCCAGCCGCACGACTCTAAAGAAAGGCTACCTTTCTCTCTCCAACACGTCAATACCTCCCATAAACCCAAGAGAGGCCGAGGCAGTGTGAAGGCTGTTGGTGACTCCAGATGTTCCTGTAACTTTATCCTGCTCATTGTCAGATCAGTTTCATGGTTGCTACATGCTATAAACATGCATAAGACATATATACCACACATTTAAATCAGGGATCAAATTACCTTTGTCCTTTAGACAGATAGATAGATAGACATATAGACAGACAGATAGATAGATAGATAGACAGATAGATAGATAGACATATAGACAGACAGATAGATAGATAGACAGACAGACAGACAGACAGACAGACAGACAGATAGATAGATAGATAGATAGATAGATAGATAGATAGATAGATAGATAGATAGATAGATAGATAGATAGATAGATAGATAGATAGATAGCTTGCTAAATGCAAAAAGGTACCTTCATAAATCACACAGAGAGAGCAGCAGTTTATCATTAAACCGGTGCACATTCAGCAGATGTGCTTCTGTTTAACTGAAGGGTTTGACAGCTGTTTCCCCATTACAACCTCCCTGATTCTTATCAGAGAACCCACACTTTTTGTTTCCACCATGCTGCCATCAAACTGCTTTTCTGAGGAGCCTTAAGAGTCTTTAACATCTATAGAGCACCATTTTATAGTCTACAGAGTTAATGGATGATTCTGATTTATAAATAAAATAATCACCTTACCATCAGACTGGACATTCCTATCCCGCCCAGACTGGGACAGACGTAGTTCCAGACCCCGATGCTCCCACGTCGGATCTTCTGACCCACAGCCAGCTCCAAGAAGAAGAGCGGGATGCCGATGATGAGGAGGAGGATGAAGTAGGGAACCAGATAGGCACCTGAAAAACAGGGAGGTTTGTTGAGTTCATACTGTGCACTGTATGAAGCATTTCAAGGCAAACATGTCAATTTGTACAATTTAGAGTCCAAAAGGGAAGTAATATGTTTAAAATCAACACAGAAAAACAACCAAGATGTCTGTCCTTCCTCACAGATTTGACTGAACATTACTGTTAACTACTTTTTCACAGTGTGCTATACAACAAAAGCTGCAGAGTTTAAGGCTGTAGTCTATGGTTCAGTCATATTAAACTGTATTCTGTTTTTTACATTTCATCTCATTTACATGCATATGACCAAAAGTATTACAAACTTTCAATATAATGAAATCTAATACAACAGAAACATCACAAACAGCCCTAAAATGACTACAGAGTCGAATCAGCACCTTTTTGACACAGTGACGGCAATATAAACTGTAGGCTTCCCCTACTCCTTGTATGTTGTATTTTTAAAGGATGGGTCTATTAGATTGTGTCGCATTAAACAGGGGTTTTATATTTTTTGGGTCATTCTAAGAGTGATTTGTAATAAAAAGAAAACTAAAATAATATGGTCCTAATAGTGTGATGAATATGAACAACGTTTCCTGTTCATTTGTTTTTTAAAACCAGCAACATTTGTACAGTAATTCAACAATTTTGCGTCAGTTTAACTTGCAAAATGTGATATGGTGATTCAGTGAAATATATTTACCCAACCACCCCTCCTCCTGCACCCAGCTCCTCTCCGATGTAACCTCCTCGGCTCCACTCACGAAAATTCTTTGAATTTCATTTTAATTTTGATGGGAGTCTAAATTTGTCCCTTTGCAGCTTAATCCAGAGAGGCATAATCAGGATGCAACTGTGTTTTATGTGCGAAGGGCGAGTCATCGTCTGGGACTTATAGCAGGCAAACATGTACTATTAATACATCAAAAGTAGGGAATTACATACAGTGGGAGGAGTAATGAGGCAGTGAGAGGAGAGGAGGGGAAAGGCTAAATCAAGAAAGCTAGAGAGGGTAGTGAGGTTAAATGTAGTGAGAAGTTTGGGGCCTTTGCCAGGATCCTCAAATCATCCACTCCATCACCGGTTATTTAAACTGGAGCCTGATAGACATGATATACGACAGAGTCCCGAGCATAAAGATGCAACAATGGAGGGAGAAATGATAGATGTGACGAGGAAGAGAAATAGTAGGAATGAGAGAGAAGCCCACACACCGATAACTCCCTAACAACACGGAGCTTTAACGTGTCTGTAATCGGCTGCCTGACAGACAATTACTGAGTGAAAAATGGCCACTCGCCAGGTCACATAACCTGACTGGCCTTTAGTTGTCTAGTGACAGAGTAAATACTCTCTATAGGCAATAAATCCTGCCTATATGCAATAAATCAGACACGGGCAGTAAAGCAGTAACCACAAAAACATTAAAGGCTTAATGTAAGCTGTAGCATGTCTATCAATCCATGATGACGTGGTGTTTCTAACCTATAGTGCAGCAGGTTTACACTGTGTTTGCCTCCGATTACAAGCACCCCAGACCAAAATAAATCCTCATCACTATACAGTTACATTCATTTTTTTTTTTTATCAGGCTCTTTTCTGTTTACCAGAGTATCAGTTGGGCCCGGCCTGCTCTGCCGGCGGTAGTAATCAATAGTGCAGCTATATTTAGACCTGGATGTTTTCTGCACAATACAGCTGCTCTTCTCACTTCTGTACTGAATGGATATGACATGTAGTTTGTGATGGTCGGGGGGGTTACTAAGCTACTAAAAGTGAAACACAGGCAGCTAAACAAGCAGCATGACTCTATAAATGAGCAAAATCAGCGTTTATGTCTGAAACATTTCAACAATAAATCACTTGTGTGAAATAGGGATGAACATTGTGAAAATCAATATCAGAAGATGAAGACTTCATCTGCAAAACCAGATATCTTCATTTTGTCTTTTTTTATGTGCTTTATGTGTTTTGATTAAGAATGACATCTATCTGGTTTTGCAAATTAACTCCTCATATATGACACAATATGGAAAAATATGCAAAACCTCAAAGCTGTTGCATTTAAACAAGAACGTTAACAACTTCATAATTATTCCACTAAAAGTTGATAATACTGCGTAGCCCTTGTGTCTGAAAATAACTTGAATGGTGGAAAGACTGCACAGAGTGGAGAGGACTGATTGGTATCCTACCAAAGTGGAAGTATAGTTACTTTCAATAAAACTACTGTTTTATGTCTACATTCTGTCAATAACTGGGCTATCACGCTGATGTTTAGCTGTTAAAACATATTCACCAACTAAGTTTAAAGAGTTTGCACGCTAACGTTTGCTAATTAGCACTAAAAGCAAAAAACAGCCTGAGGGACTGATGGGAATGTCATTAGTTTTGTAGGTCTTTGTGTGTTGGACAAATCAAAAGGATCAAAGTTCTGATCAAAGTTAAAATCATCCTGAGGGGACATGAATATCTGCACTAAATTACATGACAAACCATCCAATAGTTGTTGAAATATATCAGCCTGGACCAAAGTGGTGCAGATTTCCATCCTGAGAGTCATATCACACAGCTAACAGTCGTTAGAGCAAGAACATAACGTCAGATTACACTTCTTTCACTATTCTTACACTATTCAGTGTTTGTCACTTAAAGGCCATAACTGTCTGTTTCTGATCATTTGTTTTCTGTGTGGATGTCACATCCATTATACGTTCCACTTCATGAAAGAGAAGTTGCTATATTTAGAACTCGTATGTGATCAAACCATCTTTTAAATATTCAGATGTCATCAGTGTTTATTAGTAGAGAAATAAAGTGAAAGCTTGAGCGCTCTATGTGTTTCCTTTTATTCTCAGTGTCCCTGAGTTGGAGACACTAACTTCATGGATTACTGTGGATTTTTTGTCACTATCATTAAGGGTCATGGTAATATCTTACTACTGTGGGCCTTCAGTAAAGTTAGAAAGTTACTGCTTTTAAAAACATCTGAAGGGACTCTCATAGTAAATGTCTACTGAGTACAGTGAAGTAAATGTAATGTGCTACACATAAGCTTGAACTAAAGCCAGCAGCTCACCTCCTCCATTCTTCTGGCACAGGTAAGGGAAGCGCCACACGTTCCCCAGGCCTACAGAGAAGCCCACCTGGGCCAGGATGTACTGCAGTTTGCTGTTCCAGGCAGGTCGTCCATCGTTTTCGGGCACCTCTATCTGCGGGACTTTCTTCCCGGCGGCCCCTCCAACGTTCAGGGCGCTGCTCTTGTAGTCGATTGGCTCCTCATGTGCGAGCAGGTCAGCCACCGACTCTGTGACGTGCTCATGGCTCTGCTCGCGCTGCGTCACCTTGCTGTTCTTAGGCATCGGGGTGGGGTGGAGACAGAAAGAGAGAGCGAGACAGAGACTGGTAGGAACAGGAAGAAGTGATGCAGGCAGAGAGTGGAGAAGAGATAGATGGATGCTATAGGGAGCTATAAGGGAGATGCTGAGGAGTGATTTCAGGTCTGGGGCTTCAGTCCTGCATCAGAAAAACAAAAGATTGTATTTCAAGGACATCATCAAATTTAAAATGGAATAATGTTCTGTTATTGGACAAAAACCCCATAAATAGTATATATTTTAAATAAAAGAATGAGATTTGTGCCCCTCATAGGCATCATTCAATATCCAGTATTTTTTTAAAGCCTTCATTTCCTGGCTGTGATCCCTTAAATAACACTTCACACAGACACAATTATTCCTCCGTTTAGCGCTTGGTTAAGCTTGTAATAAGACACTGGATTGTAACACATGGTTATGCCTCTCCAGAGCCATGAAGGGTGTCAGCATGAAGACAGGACACCATTCATCACACCTGTGTTAACTTAACCTGACTTTTCAACAGAAAACTCAACAGGGACTTGAACAGACATGTTTACATCACAGCTCTTTGTCTCTCACGCAGTGTTTTTGGTTCCAAAAAATTCCCAATCCTGTAAATTGTTCTATTTAATTTCCCTGTTCTGCAGAGCTTAACTTTAGCGAAGCTTTTTTTTCCTGTAAATCCCCATAATCCTCGGAAGCATCGCAGCAACATCCATCCTCACCCCTCTTTCAGGGAGTGGTTGGTTCAACCCAAACGTAATGGAGGAAGTGAACATGATGCTTTGGATGAAGTGCCATCATGTGTTCTCTTGATCCACATCACGAGCCCCTGTGTAGGCTCATTACTTATTGAGCGAGTCATTTTGCTATTATAAAAAACCTGCCGTCCATGCTAATGCAAAACTGCAAAGCTTGTGGGTTATTCCAGCACTCTTTACATGCTGGAGGAAAAAGGAGAAAATATGACTTTGAATACTCTCAGTTTTTGATTCTGTTGTTTGGTAGTGACTGATCGAGTCACCTAAGTCCTGTTAAAACAGAAGAAAAATGTATAGCTAAAGGAAACAGTAGAGAAGTGGGACTGAGTGAAGATGCTGTACATTGAATGTGATGCAACAGCAATGATGCACATGAGTCTTTGTTGTCACAGCACTTACTGCTTACATCAGCCTAAAACAGAGTCTGCTACTACCAGCAAAGAGCATCGGCTCCACACAAACACTCTCAGAGCACTCGTAGACACAAGAAAGCCACAAAACACTCCTTAATTTGTTCTCTGAATGTTCATTTGCTTTCCTTGCTTATGCATTTTTTCATCACCACAACAGATTTCCTCCTCTGTGCATGTCAAGATGAGCCTATGATGCAATAATCCATGGCCATTCACAAGTCTTCATAATCCTGTGTGCATTAACTGTAAAGCCCCCAGCGCTGCTTTTCTGTCTTGTCATTCAATCCCATCCTACAGTATACAAGACACGTAATATCAATCACAGGCTGCATCATCCAGCCAACACTGAGAAATGAAAACACATCAACTCACCCAACCAATAATCCTGCTGGAAAAAAACCAAAAAAACCCAAACACAGTTCAGATGAGGAGTCTGACTGTGTAGAGCGATTTTATATCAAGGCATTTTTCTATGGCAGGAAAAGCCTTTGCATGGCCTGCAATGTTATCTTTCTCCTATGTGTCGATCCTGGCTTTGTCCTTGGAAGAAGATCTACATTGTCAGAGTTAACAAAAAAGGAACTGTATTCCCTTTGACCTATAAGCAAACATCTGCCTGATCTTTGTGTATTTATTCTCCTTCTTGCCTATTCAACGATTCTACATGCGTCATAACGAGGGAAAGCGAGCATATATGCAGGGTATTTCTACACCACCGCACTGTACATAACGACTACTGAAACCACCAAAAGCACTTGAACTTGTGCATGTTCTGAGCAAATGTCACATCCACAGAGAGTGAAATGTAAAGAACTTTTTGTATTAGGACAAGAATTATGTAGTTTCTTTCAGGGACTATATAATGTACAGAACAGCAGTTTGTCATGTATGTATACAGCTATCTTCTGCTGAGACTCCATGTTCTTGGACATGATACTCTAAGGGCAGGTGCACCAAGACTAAAGCTGAAACAAAGCTGAGGTCACATACCACAGATAAAAGCAGAGAGTCCTTACAAATGTGAGGCTAGAATAAGAAATCATTCACACTGGTAAATTTCCAGCACCAACAAGGACACCAGTTCAGCCCTTAACTGTGAACACATGCTTTTACACAGCACTGTATTCAATGTCAGACGTCCCAAAATCACAAAGTAAAAGTTAAACTCTCATGCAAACAAGATACATTTCCAGTGATCGATGTGTATATTCATATTTTTCTAGGAGTTATGTTGGAATAGATAGCCATATATATGCAAATACAATGGAAACAGCAGACCCTGCTGGTATCAGCTTCAGTAATCAGTCCTGTTTAAATGTCCACACTTGTTCATTAATCGATTACTGATCCTGTGATTACAAGTCTGAACACACACCACAGTTAATGGTTTATCATCTGTTTCACTCTGGAAAAGTCTGAAGCTTTGCATTTGTTGTTCCCACTTTACTGGCAAAATCAAAACTTTAAAAACTGTAAATTTAAAGGAACATCAGCTTGCTTTCATTTAAAAAAAACAACCTCTTCACTCTAAAACACAGCTGACCAGAACAGCTGCAGGTGGTGTAAAGCTGGTGAAAGCTCTCACTCATCAACACCTCAGCACAGATCACTTAATGTGACCACCAGGCGACACATCTGGTGCTGATGCTGATAGCCCAGCGGTTTCGCCATCGCTGATTTCACCGCTCATCATAAGTGATGCGACGACTTTTTAAAAAAAAAAAAACACACAATCAAGGTCAAACACGATTATGTCCTGACCTCTGTGCGTAAAGTAGAAACTCATTTAGGTCATGATGCAAATTTTACACAATTACAGACAACTTCACGTGACTCAAAACGACATAAAACAAAGCGACTGGAACTCTTTTCCAGCTCTCTGTGAACTTTTTTGCAGGAATACAGTTTTCAAAATCCAGGTGATAGCAACTACAGCGCAGAGAGAGAGAGAGAGAGAGAGAGAGAGAGAGAGAGATGCACAATGGAGGGATGTTAGAAAAATTAATTCTTTCTCACCGTCTGAGTCTTTAGCAGCGATCAACAATATCCAGGGTTTATCGTGACCGCAGATGTGAGAGAAAATCTGTAGAAAGGCATGAATGCATCCGCCGGGCAGCACTTGTGTGTCTGTGTGGTACTGACTGATCGCTCACAGGACACTGGAGGACGGAGGATCACATGCTGCTCTGCCTACAATTGACATGCAGGGAGGAGAGTCCGGGGCGCACCGTGACGCACAAAGTGCCGCTCATTACCAGCAATGACAAATTATTAGGCTACCTGACACTCACTTGTTGTTTGAGACTTCCGGTCATCACAGCGTCTCTGCACGGTAAGGTGTGATGTCTGAGGGGGGTAAAAAAATGCAAAACTATGCGCGGATTTGTCAAGGTTATCCACACCTACCTGAGGAAGTAAGTGTGTGACGCAGCTTTCGTCATTCCCATTTCAATTGATACCAAAAAAAGCCATTCAGCACCGGCCTGTCGGGATAGTAGCATGGGATGCAAAGGAAAAAACAACAGCTCTTATTCTAAAGGTCATTTGAGTTGAGCTTTTTGTTAGCATCGCCCTGCAAACACAGTGAGGCTGCTGGTATTAATGTGGACACTGGGAAACCAGATGAGCAAGCCCCTTTCCCCCAACTGCTCAACGATGAATAAGCATTAATAAATGAATAAAACTCATAATAAATATATGAACAACAAATGAATAATACAGAGAGGGAGAAAAGAAGGACAATCTGCACTTGTAAGTGGAGACAATGTGTTATTATTGCCATCTGTTGTAGCCTAATCTGAAAAGTAAATAGTAACTGAGTGTGTCAAATAAATATATTGCAGTTAAAATTTAAATAATTCCTAAGTGTATATATACACATACCCATATATTTAATATATGGGTATGTGTATATAAGTGTAAGTGGACAAGTGCTTCAAATTGTACTCAAAAACCTCACATGAGTAAATAAGAGTAGTTAATTAGTTACATTAATATAAAAGTCTAAACAACATTGTTTTTATTAAAACTCTCTTTAGGGAGAGGAATCTGTTCTCTAAGAGAATATACAAGTAATTCTCTTCATTCTCTCCAATAATCTCTGACTAACATCTTTATCTCCCGGATCAAACTTTAAGTCTTTGGACTTTGCAGTGGGTGGTCATTTCTCTATTAAATACTGGACACACGACACGACTGCAGCAGACACAGTCACCCAGGGGACCATAAATCACGCACCAGCCACCAGAATATTCCTTAATACCACTGAGATAGAGGCGGAAGACATCATAGAGAGGCCATTTTTCATCCTGCCCTTATGGATTTATTTTGTTCCCTGTGTCTATCTCCTTGGTCGTCTTAATCAGATGTGTGTCCTCACTTGCTTTTTGATGTTTCTCTTCATCTGCATCATTATTACCATTATAGAGTTGATGATAAATAACAAAGGGCAGTAAATGTGTGGAGTTAAGTGGCTTTAAACTTTCTAAGAACAAAATCCTGTTTCCCCAGGCACCAATACAGTTTGAACTGGCTTTAAATAAGATATGACCTCTGCAGTACATTTGAATCACAGCTCATATCTCATATTCTCTCTATTTGAGAAGCTTTGCAGTAGGATGTTGTTCAGACTGTTTTAGGTTAAACTAAAACCAGAGTGTAGCATCCAAGACGTGTTCAGGGTCCGATTTGTCTTTCCTATTTCTACAACTGCATGGTCCTCGCTCAGTGACGCTTTTGACGCACCATCTTCGATCTGACTACTGGGAGCAGTTGCTGTGGCAACCTCAGGATCATATGACAGACTTTGTCTCATCTCTGCACTCTCTTTTCTGTATTCCTACCCTACATAAATTGCTTTTCCCTGTAATTTGATATTACTGAATATTGAATATTTATTTCATCCAAATTATAGCTCAATTTAAATAGTTGTCCTATAGCTACTGATCCCTCCGCCACATATTATGTTAACTCTCTTTCCATTTGTTTTAGCAAGTTTTAGAAGTATACAGTGCATTAAAGATCATCCTCTGTAGTGTTTTCACACACTCACACCTCATTTTTGCTTCCACAGCCTTGTGTTCTGTCACCTCATCTCATGTGAGAAAAAGTCTGATAAGAAATCCCTCAGACGAAAATAGAAAACAAGCACATTGTGACTGAAACAAGTGAAACAGGATGACAAAGTCTGATAAAAACAGTTCAAGGACAAGGATTTAAATCATGTAGCATAATGATAGTGATTGTAAAGTAACACTTCAGCACCAAAGTGCTCCCTAGCAAGGCAATGCTTCAGGACATATGCTAAGTGGACAGCGGTGTGACACTCAGTGATACACTCACATGATTTTTCGAGGCTCCATTAAGCCTGCATCAGCAGCCTTGCAGGCCTGTGGGACTGTTGGCACAGTGGCGCTGCTGCCCTCTCTGGTTAGCAAATGACCGAACAGTCCCATCTGGGTTGGAGGAGCTGCAGCTTTGTTCTGCCTTCACTTACTCCATGTCCTTTTACTCATACCTGCATTTATTTATTGTACAACTGTTTTTTCAACTCCACTACCACTGTGATCATCTGAGTGTGTGGTTTGGTAAAACCATAGAAATTTGTCCTTGATTCTTGTATAGTTCTTGTCCTGCACCAGATTTAAACATCCGGGTAAGCAGCTCTGTGAGGCTGTACTTAGGCACAGGGGTGGGTTGAGCTAATGCTAAAGCTAATAATGCTAACATGCTAATGTTTAGCATGTATGATGCTCACTATCTCAGTTTTGTAAAAGTGTGCAGAGGCTGATGGGAATGTCATTAGTTTTGCAGCTATTTGGTCATAAACCAACAGACAGTATGGGACAGATTTTAGATGTGTTAGATGAAAAATCAGAGGATCACCAAAGTGATAACAAGTCATCCTGAGGGGTGCGTGGCAATATATTCAAGAGTCGTTGAAACATTTCTCTCAGAACTACAATTGTGAACCTCATGGTGGAAATAGAGGAAAAGCCAGGAGTTCATCACAGTCAGTAGGATTCATGCTCTGGGAACCATGAATGTCTGTAAACAATTAATCCATGCAGTAGCTAGTTGTAGAGACATTTCAGTGGGGATCAAAGTGGTGGACCAATCTGCAAAACTGACATAGACTGCTGCAGGGATGACTGGGATGATCGTTTATGCTACTTACATGATTTGTTCAGCAACTTTTATGATTTTTTTGCTCATGTAAAAAGCTAACATTATAGGCTATAAACAACAACAACACAGTCACATGACTTCCATGTTACCACCACTAAACTTCTAACTTGTAATTAAAGGACAGTGTGTAGGTGTGTTTTGTGGCATCTAGAAGTGAAGCTGCAGATTGCAACCAACTGAATACTGCTCACATTCCAAGCATATAGGAGAAACTAAGTTGGCTGCAAAACTCCCCCGAAAAACAGAAAAGGCCCTATCTAGAGCCTGTGTCTCCGTAGAAGAGATAAAAACGGCTCATTCTAACAAAAACAGAATGATTCTTATTTTCAGGTGATTATACACTAATGAAAACATACCTATGAATATTATATTCCATAAATCCTCCTAAATGTTGCACACTGGACTAAATCTTGTAAATAAAATCTAACTGTAGTCTCATTTAGCCACTTGCTAGCAACCACCTATTTAGTGATGTTTTTAATGTTGTAGAACAAAATCTCTTAAACTTGTGTTAACCACAGACCTTATTTCAGGCATCTAACCAATAACTAATTAAAAAGACTCAGTAACTCCGAGGCGAGGGAACCCGGAAGTACAAAAATGCTAAAACACTAAGCACTCTATAGAGCCACACTGCTAATATATAAAATAATAAACTCATAAACTTTCTTTATCACCAGCATCTTTTCCTTTTGCTCCCAGTGCAGTGTCCTTCCCCCTATTATAAAGAATTTCTCTCTGAAATCTTTACTTCAAACATCCTCTGTGATTCTGGTTGCATCTCGTGGCCCTTGGTGTCTGACGTCAGCAGCCTCTTCACAGCACATTTCTACTCCTCTCTGCTGTTCACCTTCAGTCGCCTCTAACTTCCCATCGTCTCCTCCACCGCTTTGCAGCACCCCCTTTCTTTTGTGCTCCCCCACGCCCACTTCCACTCACGTGCGCTCATGCATTCTGCATCTGCACCACCACATCCGCCCAGTACTTTTCCTTCACTCCAGTCTCATTTATATTCCTCCCTCCCCAACCCTTTCCTCCCCCTCTCCTCCCCCCTCCTGTTTCTCCCCTTGTGTTTTGCGCTGTCTGGGTCACTCTCAGCTCCTAAAAAAAGCTTCAGTGTGCACTGGGCTCTGTGGTATTGCTTATCTAGTCCATTATTCTCAGTACAAGCACTTGAACAAACATAATTATACCTACACTGTAATTCCTGCTGAAAGCAAGTGAATGTGAACACTTGACAGATGTGAGAGATGTCATGACGTTGTTCACGGTGATCAATGCACTGATAACTCAACTACTCTTTTAGCCAAGAGGATACTGCATGCTCCATTTAGCCAGAAAGGTTTGTTCTCTATATATGAAGAATAGAACTTCATCAGCATCATATAAAACCTGTGTAAGAAGTTTTTGTGTATTATTCCCTAAAATGAAGAAAATAAACAAAGGGCTTTAATTAACACATGACTTGTTTTTTATTTCACATGCATCAAAAAACACCCACTTTATCACCCACAGTATTGTAGCACCTCCTGCTTTCCCAGAGTGCATCAGTGCGCGGGGATGTGCTGGTGTTGTGCAGGTGTTCAGACAGAGGAGAAAGTGGGTCATGTCGGGCTTGAACAGACACACTGCAGTGCTCCGCCAACAGCAACACTCCAAGATGGTGACTTGATTTACACAGATTGTAATCAGAATGATCCCTGCAGTGATGAGACACAGTGGGCGGCTCTCGGGTCCGATTGTCCAGTTCATCAAGGATTGCATACTGGTTCAGGTTAGACAGGTGAAAGTTTGGTTGTGTTTTGGTTGGTTGATGACCGAACCCGATCTGTTACTAAGCATCTGTCTCACAATGAAAGCCCGGGTGCAGTGGGTCAGGCCATGCTGTTCACCTTAATGCGACACACAAAAATAGAAACTCATTAAAAGCTGTTTTTCCCTCACTAATCCTTTGCAGATTTCCCCTTTGACAGCTCATTAACAAAAATGTCTGCATACCATTCTGTTTTTGATGGTTATTAACAGATGAAACGCCTATCTGTTGCAGTATATTCAATGTCTTATATGACAATGAATTCCCAGCAGCAGCCTTTATGAATTTGAGATTTAAAAAAAAATCTTTTCAAAGAAATTTTTATTTTAAAAGTTTTTTAAACGTTGGTGTATGTAGCTTGTTTCCTGTTGGTTATCTACTGCTGTGAACATGCACAGCAAATATAATTCCCTTTAATAACTTTGCCACCATTTTATGTATAAGCACTATTTTGTTGGCTTATTTCACTGACTGACGGATGCTTTGGTTGCTCCATTTGAGGAGGACAAACACCTGACCTGGATATTGGGAAGAGATTTGAGGCAGGAACAACCCCCCCCCCCATACTATCTTAATAGTCACACACTTTAAACCCATTTTAATACTGGGTGGCAGATTGCCTTGCTGGGCCTGCGCGGGGTCATGTGACGGCCTATAGAAGAACTTCACCAGATGGTCTCTCAAAGAGGGGCCAGTCCAGCTCACAGGGTTGAGGGCAAAACTCCCGTCCCCATTTTTTTGGACATCATAATCCTTTTAAAATACCCCTGCAGCTAAGCACACTGCATTTTTCAAGTATTGTTGGTGCAACAAAGAATAGGGTCAGACTTAGTGAGATGAAAAGGGGATACAGATTAAAACTTATTGAGAGCAAAAAGATTTGAATACATATAACACAGTTTGAAACCAGGAGGGTGATTAAGTGCTTTTTGTTAAAAATGATCAAAACGGGTTTCCCTATCTTTTTTGTACATTTTAATTTGTGAAGGTGAACTTTGCTAGAAATCAATATTTATATTCTATGAAAACAGCATTTCATCAGGAAGATGGTTTTTGTTTCTGGAAAGAAATGGAAATTAAGTCCAAGAAACAGACATTTGCATTCGTGTGCGCAGACATGTTTACAGGATGAGAAAGTGGAGCTAGAAGTTTCTAAACTGTCAGCTTTTCTGTCCATAAAGCAACAGTTTAATAACTGGAAGACCACCTCTCCCCCTGCTGTCGTGCAGTCTGTAATCCTACGCGTGGGTGCGCCCTACATACATGCCTCAGCATTTTATTCCTGTGTATTATCCATAATAATAATAAAAAAGCCCACATGTCCACACATACCCCACTGACTGCACAGATTGTTATATTGTGGCTGATGGCTCAGAATGCAGTACAGCTCTGGTTGGTGCATTGTAATTATTGTGAGAAAAACAAGAGTAAACGGGTTCATTGAAATGCAAACACACTCAAGGTCGCTTCCTAAAGTAATTTAATTGAAAATGATCTGAGGAGCAGATCATCATGTGACCAAATGAGGAGGCTTTAGGGGGTACATGTGCTTGAACTGCTGCTGTGAAGCAATGTCAAAGGAAATTAAGACTTAGTAGAGATATTATAGAAGGTAATGACATTGATTTCAGTATTATGTGATAAAGTAAGCGTGTAGGAGCACGTACTACATGTAGTAATGTATTAATATAATACATTACTATATGCAGTACACACAGACATCAAATATAATTTATGTGCGTCTTTTGTTTTTGTTCTGTAGTTTTTATTTCGATTATGTTTTGGTATTTGTCTATAATCAAATAAATACATAATAGAATATAAATACAGACAACAAACAGCACAAAGTCTAAAGCATTATAATGTGTGATCATATGTGTTTTAAAACGTGTTTAATGTGGACAATTTTCATAACAAATAACTTTAAAAACCAAATAGCTCTAATTAAACAGATTTTAAATATGTTGTGTTTGTTTGTTTTATATAATTATATTTATATATTTTCAATAGCTTCATGTTTTATGCTGAGTAGTGATATGGAACAATATCTGATATAAATCTTCCAGTGAGACTGGATGTGGAGACACGCTGGCTGAGCTTTCGAAGACTAGAAAGGAGAAATACAAGTACAGACCATTTACTATATAAGTGAACAGTATCACTGCACTCCTGCAGTCGCTGAGCAGACTGTCTCCTGACTGTCAATAAACACCATACAAAGGTTTTTGTCAGTCTAGACACTTTACCTTCCTGTTTGAGTGATTAACTGTAGCTGATGTTGTTGTTAGTAGGAACCTCTGTGCCCCCTAGTGGTAAAGATTTGGTATAAATGTGTCTCTTGAGTATTCTGACAGGAGTACAGCTGGTTTCCACACTTAAAGGTCCAGTGTGCAACATTAAGAAGGATCTATTGGTAGAAATATAATATAATATTTATAGGTAAGTTTTCATTTGTGTATAATCACCTGAAAATAAGAGTGTTTTTGTTAATTTAGTATGAGACGTTTTATCTAAAGAGGGAGCAGGTCCTCTTGTAGAGTCCTCCACACTGAACAGCTATGTTTCTACAGTAGCTCAGGACGGATAAACCAAACACTGGCTGTAGATGGAGCCTTTTGTGTTTTTCATGGCTTTTGTGGCGACTGTACTTTCTCCTACACACCTGGAAGGACGAACTCTATTCACATGTTTGTAATCTGCTATTTCACTGCTAGTGTAACTAAATCCTTCAAGTTTATCAGATTCAAAATCACCCAATGTGGACATACATGGTTTTTACTGGACAGTGAAATGGATAAAAAATTTAATCTGAAAAGTAACTAGTAAGTACAGCTGTCACAAGTACAATATTTGCCTTTGAGATGTAGTGGAGTAGAAATAAAGTTGCATAAAATGAAAAAGTACCTTGAATTTTCACTTAAGTAAATGTACTTAGTACTTAGTGCAGCACCATCACAGTGCAGACACACTAGGAACTTGTCTTACTCATACAGCTGGTCCCTGACAAGGCCCTGGCTTGCTACACCTCTTTCAGCTTGTTAGATGTTTGCTCTACATACTCAGACACGACGCCCCTCCTCCACTTTAAATGAAGGGCTGTTCTATGTATTACTCAATACACTATCAGTGTCCTTACTTCAAGGACATCATGCAGCCTTGCACTACAAATACTTTTCCAGAACAATTGATGTTATTCTAACTGGTATTCTACACCTACATGTGAGCTAAATGAACTCACACTGTATTTTACTTTAATACGAACTCATTTAAAAACAAACATTAGACACAATCTAAAACAGAAACTTCCGTCTTTTTCTGCTCTTCCTGCTGCTGCAGTCTGTCACAGTCACTATCTCTCAGTTTTTCAAATCAGCTTTTGCCATCAGGATTGTACTTTGACCCCACAGCAGAGCCGCACCCTGGCTTATAATAGGAGAGCGCCCTTCCGGTTTACGTGAGTGACAACCCGCGCAGCCAATCGTCTTCTTGTACAGGCGCGTAGGCGGGACTTCCTGTACAGTAGCGCAAGTAGTCCAACATGGCGGTTGTGTCGCTCGCTTGAGAGTGAAGTGGAAACCGCGAGTAAGTTAAGATAGTTTAGGTGTTTTTTAAAGTGGCAGAGAGGGTATATTTACACAGAGAAGTGTCTGTAGACTGCGGATATCGGCTGTTGGAGATGAAAGGGAAAGAGCGATCGCCGGTGAAGAAACGCTCCCGGGCTCTAGAGGATAGCAGAGACCGAGGAGGAAGCCACCCGAGCGGCAAGAAGTCAGGAGCTCTGTCGACGGTCGGCAGCAACAACGGGAACAGCTCCGCTCAGAGGAGAAGTTTACACAGCGAGAAAAGAGACATGAGGGATTCAGACGGACATAATTCATCCGGTCGGGTCGGCAGCGGTTACGACTACGGAGTTGTTTCGGTGAACAAGCCGTACGGCGGCGCTGACGTCGCCGCGGAAACATCCAGGTCCGGTTCACGCAGCGACCCTCGGCCTCCTCCGTCAAACCCCGAGAGTGAGTACAAGACTCTCAAAATAAGTGAACTGGGCTCGCAGCTGAACGACGAGGAGATAGAGGACGGGCTGTTTCACGAGTTTAAGAGGTTCGGGGACGTGAGTGTGAAAATTAGTCGAGAAAACGACGAGAGGGTCGCGTTTGTGAACTTCAGGCGGTCGGATGACGCCCGGGCGGCAAAACACGCCCGCGGGAAGCTGGTGCTGTACGACCGGCCTCTGAAAATAGAGACAGTTTACATGAACAGACGTAGAAGCCGCTCCCCTGTTTCAAAAGACAATTTCCCCTCAGGACAGAGGCATCTCCACTCCCAGAGACCTCTGTCTCCCACTGGTCTGGGGTACAGAGACTACCGGTTACAGCAGCTGGCTCTGGGCCGCCTCCCCCCCCCTCCTCCACCGCCTCACATCAGAGATCTGGAAAGAGACAGAGATTTTTCCATGTATGATGCCAGGAACAGACCCCCGTTCATCCCTGAATGTGCTGTTTACCGCGACGAGGACCTGATGAGCCCAGAGGATGACCAGAGAGCAAACAGGACCCTGTTTCTGGGCAATCTGGACGTCAGTGTGACAGAGAGTGACCTGAGGAGGGCGTTTGACCGGTTTGGGTTGATAACAGAGGTGGACATAAAGCGGGCAGTGAGAGGCCAGAGCAACACCTACGGATTCATCAAGTTTGAGAACCTTGACATGGCTCACCGTGCCAAAGTGGCGATGTCCGGTAAAGTGGTGGGCCACAGCCCAATTAAAATTGGCTATGGCAAACCTACACCCACGACCAGGCTGTGGGTGGGGGGCCTTGGACCCTGGGTTCCACTCGCTGCACTAGCCAAGGAGTTTGACCGCTTTGGCACCATCAGGACTATAGACTACAGGAAAGGTGAGGCGTGGGCTTACATCCAGTATGAAAGTTTGGATGCTGCTCAGGCTGCATGCACTCACATGAGAGGCTTCCCTCTCGGTGGCCCAGAAAGGAGACTGAGAGTGGACTTTGCGGACACGGAGCACCGTTACCAGCAGCAGCAGCCGCAGCCGCAGCAGCAGTACATGCAGCTCCCCCTCCCCCTGCCGCACTATGACTTAGTCCCTGAGCCCTTTGCCCACCGTCTTACCGACTCAGTGAGAGTGAGAGAGAGGTCCCCTACGCTCCCTTCTCGCTTCAGAGACAGAGATCTGTACTCCAGTGCGGAGTGGTCTGGTCTGGGTGTGCACGACAGGATGCGAGGGGGAGGCTTCGATCCTGTCGATCGCCTGGAGAGGCGTTCCCGCGACACCTGGTCAGTAGAGCGTGAGTTCCAAAGCAGAGATCTGAGCCGCAAAAGGAGACAGTTGGATGATGGCTGCCGGCTGGATCATTCACCGGACTTAGCTGACTTTGGTCTGCGCCGTCACGGCAGCTCGTTGGAGCGCAGCCCTGGAGGGAGCAGCCGAGATGGGGGACGCTACAGTGACCCCGAACGCCCGCCTCGCTCTGGTAGAACTTCCCCCACCAGAGAGCGCCAGGACACTGGCTTTGGAGACAAGAGAAGAAAAACACTTAGCCCAGCTGAGCGAGGCTCCTGCCCCGAGAAGGACCACAAACGCAAAGCGAGTGACTCATCTAAGAGCCCGGCGAAAAAGGAGGATCGTTTGGGGCAACCTTCCTCCTCCTCTTCCTCCAAGTCTGGTCCGCAGTCTAAGTCAGCTGCTGGAGGCCAGAAGCTGAGTCAAGCCTGGCAGGGAGTCCTCTTGCTGAAGAACAGCACCTTTCCCACATCGCTGCACCTGCTGGAGGGGGACATGGCGGTGGCTACCAGCCTGCTGGTGGAGGGCTCCACAGGGGGTCAAGTGTCCCAGCTGAAGATCAGCCAGCGCCTGCGCCTGGACCAACCCAAACTGGATGAGGTTTCTCGTCGCATCAAGGCTGCTGGCTCCGGCGGGTACTCCATCCTCCTGGCCGTGCCGGTGAAAACTGACGACGGGGGTGTCCAAGACGCCAGCAACTCCACCGAGAGACCGCTGAAGAACCTGGTGTCCTACCTGAAGCAGAAGGAGGCGGCCGGCATCATCAGCCTCCCTGTGGGGGGCAGCCGTGACAAGGACCAAGGAGGAGTCCTTCACGCTTTCCCCCCATGTGAGTTTTCCCAGCAGTTCTTGGATGCCTCTGCCAAAGCCTTTGCCAAATCAGAGGACGATTACATGTTGATGGTCATTATCAGAGGAGCATCGTGAAAAAAAAAAAAAAGTACAAATCATTCATGTGTTTTTTTTTTCACACTCATGAACTGTTAATCTGTGAGTTGTAAAAACAGGGATACATAATGGTAACAAAGCAGAGTGACAGGAAATGACAGGGTTGTGATTTTAAGTTGCTTAACCTGCATGGTAGCTTCTGTCTCATCCTGTTGAAGGTTTATAGCTATGAAAGTAACCCTGAATTGACTACATTTTGATAAATTGATGGATTTGATTATTAATGCAGGTGACTTCTGGTTTTTAGTTATCAGATAAATGTACATTACTTGAATGGTACTCTGCTGAATCAATACTATATGTTGCCTTATCTCATTTCAAAAGAAACACAGTTCCTTTATGTCCTTTCATACAATGCCTGCCAATAAGAAAAAAAGAATTTAAGATCCAAAACAGAGTATTTAGCCTTCATTTTATCTGTACTTATAGATTTAACTGGTCAGTGTCAACACGTTTCTAGTACTATAATGTTTGTACAGCCAGCATATGAAACAATCAAATTCATGTACATATACATTTGCTCTTGATTAAGAAAATATACCTGCTCTAAAGCTTTGCCCATTGCTCATTAATAGGCATATTCCAGATGTGCATCTGTATTACTTTTTGGTGACCAAGTGAACATTTTGAATACTTCCAGGTTCAAAGTTTCATAATGACAATTTTTCTATTTTTGTCAGTTTTGGCCAGTCGTAAAAGTGAAAGAAAATTGTGGAACATATGGACTATTCTTTCAGAATCTACTTTTGGATATGTTAAAAAATACATTTAATGCGAGCCTTAAGCGTGGTACAATGGTATAATAGATTACATTGCTATCAGTGCTCCTGTCTGAGCCACATCTGGAGGTTATGTGACATTACAAGGTGAAATGAATGCAGGGTTTCCTGTCTGTGTTTTAGCACTGGTATGCCATGTAGGGGTGGACACAAGCAGCAAGCACCTGCCAGTTATAATGCAGTTTAATACAATGAGATTGCACAGAATACTGCCTTTGTAAAGATAATTATGTTTTTTGTTAAAATTGTGTTTGAGAGGAGAGATTGTCAGCTCTGTGTAGTTCTGACCCTGAGGTGTTGTATTGAACTGCATTATGTTATGTTAAGGTACCATTTAGGGCTGATTCATCATCGTTTAAACTACAGGTTCATTTTTGACTAATCAATTAATTATTTGGTCTATAAAGCATCAGAAAATAGTGAAGAATCTCAATAATTAGTGTGTAACTTATAAAAAAATAAAATGACATGAGATGGATAATCTGTGGAAAAAAAACAACCAGGTTCCTCTTGCTCAGCCTAATGCTCCTAAATCCATTTACAAGAATCCACTGCGTCTGAATAAAAACAACCAATCAAATCATATTGAACGTTTCAGCAAATATATATATATATATATATATATATATTTATACATATGGTTATTTTTTTTATAAAAGTTACCTCCTGCTGCTTTTAGGGTGACTTCTTCAAATAGATTTTATAGTTAACAGTCCAGAAACCAAAGATATTCAGTGTGCTATAAAAGCTGTGTCCTACACATTTGAGGAGCATAAATTGTTGCTTTTTAAATTATCTGTCGGTTGAGGAATCATTTCAGCTCTAAATATTATTACCATGGAGTTGAATCAACTACCATTAGTCTACACAGGGTTGCTTCTGTGTCCACCGCTTTTATATTGTACTTTTATTGGTATCATTCAATTTGGTTGAACAGTAATTGGTTGATTAAGTTATTCACTTTTCTTATGTTATAATCAACTGAGTACAATAACAACCCCAACAAAGCATGTACTGTTTAAAAAATTCTAAATTAAGAGCTATATGTATACCATGCACATCTCTAATAACGGATCAAGAGTCTTTAAGTAGAAAATATTGCTGTACTGTCAGTGGACTGTGATGAAAACCTCTGAACGAATCAGAGGAGAGAAGGCCGTTGTCCGATGGCCTTACACGCCTTCCTCTGAAAGGACTGTTAATAATACTTTTCATGCTTTTGATTTGAGTTCTGTGTTTTCAAATGGAAAAAAACAGATTTGTATACTCAGGATATCTGGAGAGAGAAATGGAGAACATCAGTGCTCATGGGCCTAAGAAGTATACCTGTCAGAAAAAAACGCAAAGTGCAACATGCACTTGATTTTGTCTCAATAAATTTACTCTTTCGTGGGAAACACAAGTGCCTCGGAAGACAACTTTTGTGACCTTTTCTGTTCTTGGAATTGTCTATCAAACTCTAAAGGCTTTATCACTTTGACAGCAGGAGCCTTCCCGGCAGAAAGGAGAGGAAAGTGTGAGAGTCGAGGGAGGTCAGCCTCTCAGTTCTGTGTTTTCATTTTGTTGATCCTCAGTTGTTGAATGACCTCTTTGTGACCTTCACACAAATTGAAATTTGGCCATACTAGAATACTTTTTTTCAGTCCGTCCGCAAAGGCAAATCTAGAGTCACTGTGTCTCTTCAGATATGTGGCTTATTCCCTCAGTCGCCTCTGGCCCGTAGGACCGCAGGTTGCGGCTGAGAACCAGCAGAGTGCTAATCCGTCTGGTTTGTCACTCGCCACCAAAAACCGCCGGGGTCGTCTCCATCTTTACAGCCTCTCAGCGGAGGCACAGCAGTGTTTGAAGGCCCCCCCTGCTCTTCTCTCTCATCTGGCTCCAACAGTGTTGGTTCAGCATCTGCAGCAGCTCGAGAAGGAGAGCAGTGTTCATGTGTGTAGTTGCTTATTGTTCTTGCGTTGGAGTTTTGAAGGAAGATCTCTGTACTAGGGTCAGACTTCAAACTTGTCTCATCCTCCTGTGTCGGAGAAGAGGTTGAGACGGTGAGACAGCATCTGCTTTATTTGCCATAAAATGGAAAGGAGACAACAGAGGAGAAAGATGCCTGTACAGGGAATCCTAATCTTTAGTTGATATGTTGATCTGATTTACACACTTGTTCTTTGCCAAACTGCGTATGAAAGCAAAGTGAAGAATTTCCTGCTGTCACTGAGCAAGAATCTGCTGCAGCAGGATGTATATCATCACGCCAGTGCTCTTCTGCTCATCGCTGCTCCGCGCATAAAGGACCTGAACGCCTTCCCTAGGTGTCCACATGGTACCGTGGCTGGGATTCAAGGATTTAAAGGTTTCCTGGAGCTGTGAGGTGAAACAGTTGAGTGTCACCCCGGCTGTAGCTGCTCCTTGTCCACAGGTAACGTATTAAGATGACCTAAACTACAGACTTGGGTACGTATTAAAATGTTTAAGACCGTTACAAGCATACTATCCTATTTAACATCCTATTTAACACCTGAATAGAGGGTGAAAAGACACACTAAAATGTAGTCCCCCTGAAGTAAATACCAAACTAAGAACCACAATGCAGTTTTTTTTTGCGACAGTTAAACAGCACACATCCCGTCAGTAACTTTCAGTCAGTGCCGGTAAGAGTCTGCTGTACCTTTTTCATTGGTTCAACTTCCTCCTTTGGTATATTTTGTCATGGTGTTGGTGACACTTCCTCTCTGTCTCCGATTACAAATAATTTCCCTGTGTTGGTCCCAAATGCACCAGCGATTCATAAATCTTAACAACACAAGTGAGTCTCAGTGAGGGGAAGAAGTACTCAGATCCTTTACTTCAGTAAAAGGAACAATACCACATTGTGAAAATACTAAGATTATTACTTAAAGTGTGGAAATACTATCAGCAAAAGTCTGCTTTGTTTTAAAGAATACTAGAAATCTGATCAATCATTTCAGAGTTTTATATTATTATAAAATCTGATAATTATTACTGTTGCATTTACACATAGCTTTTCACACTTCATACTGTATAGTGTTTAATGACTACACTATTTTATTAGATGATCATATGTTTTGTATCATCTAAATCTGCAAAGTAACAAATAACTTAAGCTGTCAGATAAATGTAGTGGAGTAAAAACTACAATATTTCCCACCCAAAACAAATTTGGTGAATTATAAAGAAGCATAAAATGAGAATAACATTTTAACTAAGTAAATGTACTTGGTCACCTTCCACCGCTGGCTTCAGCTGAAATATCAGTAAGTAGGAACATAAAGAAACAAACAGTCTCTGCTTGAGTTACTGACACATAAAGCTACAAAATAATGTAATGTTAAGTTTAAAAAGCTCTGACATTATTTGCCAAACATGAGACGACTGCATTAGTAAACAGGAACAAATACAAGAGAGTTACTGGAATATTTGTTGAGATTGAAAATGAATTGAATTAGTGTTTAATGTCCTCATTAGCACTGAGGGGAGGGAGGAGGCAGGATTAAGAAACTATCAAAGCTTTATGGGCACAAAAGGTTGAGATGACTGATAATCACTCATCAGCAGGAGCACATGAGAACAACCTGTGTCATCACTGGTTATGATGAGTGTTAAACAGGAAGTGGAATAACCTCCTCTGGGATAATCAAAGAGGTATAATTTATCACAACAGTGCTGCCAGCAGTGAAAGAAATGTAAACTTTGTGCTACAATGTTCATACAAACAGTTCCAGAGTGTAATGAGTTTGATTAGAGGGGTTAGGATAAATAGGAAGTATGTTTACTGTATATGAGGAGGTGCTGAGTACTCGAACTCCACTGTTGTATTGTTATACAGTAAATGTGCCTTAGCTAAGCCTTAATCTGGACACTGGAGAACTAACACTCGAGTTGAAGTGAGCTACCTGGGAAATCAGGGCAATAAAATGAGTTAATCAATTATAAACTGAGGTTACATTTGAGTTAATAACTGATTTTACCTTTCAGTCGTAACAAATTCAAGGACTCTGTTGTTGTTGCCTGCAGTTTATAAAATAATTCTGCATATGAATCTGAAAGAAAACTCAAAGAATCTGAGTTTAAAACAAGATATTTGCTGATTGCAGAACCTGTAAACAATACAATATGTCTTTACTGTGTGTGTATCATCAGTGTAATAAGGATTCAACATTTGGCGCACTTTAAAGAATCTGATCACTGATCCAACAGCAGATGTAGTGCAGTCGCCCTGAATATGGGGCTCACCCGGAGATGATTATGCAATAGTAAATACAGTATGGTGGGTTTGTTCCTCCTCCTTTTATACCTTTTTTTTAACGTTATATGAATTTCCTGCACCAAATAGTGCCTGAATACTTCTTGAACATGAGCTCGTCATGATTTAAAATGTTGAGTATTTCAGGTTTTCGCCTCAATATGGAGACGAGAAAGGAAGAAAAACTCTTTTGTCTGTCCTCTTTGAAAAGACTGAACGAGCTCTTACAGAGCTTCAGTGAACTCTAGTGAAGTTATAAGAGCGCACATTGAAAGGTTTTCAAGGAATTCATCAGAGAAGAGAAACTATGCCTTGGTGAGTACAGTTTAACTTGCACTTCTTATATGTATACCTTACATTTATATTAATGTAAACTACATTTGATTTGTGATTGAATAAAGGCAGCGGTTCTTTAAGAGACATTCTGACCTTGTGTCATTTTTTTCACAACATCCATCGTGTGTGTGTGTGTGTGTGTGTGTGTGTGTGTGTGTGTGTGTGTGTGTGTGTGTGTGTGTGTGTGTGTGTGTGTGTGTGTGTGTGTGTGTGTGTGTGTGTGTGTGTGTGTGTGTGTGTGTGTGTGTGTGAGAGAGAGAAATGGCAGGATGTCTGTTCCACTCTCAGTCCTGTAGAGGGCAGAGTTGGATGGAGCGATATTAAACTGCCAGAGAACACAAACAGAAGACGTGTATTGAGGTGGAAATGATACAGTATCAGTGTTCTTACATGTAACGTGATAAGCTTATCCAGTTGATTTATGGTAGAAAGGTGAGGAATTTATAATGACACATTAAACTGATTTCACACTAATGTCAACAGCATTAATGACATTAATACAGGCATTTACTATTTATATTTTAAATACCATTACATCATTACATCCTTTGAAACACCCCTCAATGTGAAAAGAGAAGCCATTCAGATTTTATATTTTCAGATTGTTCAAAAAAGTGAATTTAGTCAAAGTCAGCAACACAGACATTAAGGGACCTTTTAAAGTTGCTGTAGGCAATAATACTTTACATTTATTTGCTGTCAGTACACACAGTAGATGAGAAAAGTCAACAGAAACTCACTGAGTCTGGGAAAGGTCAACCCTCACCTGGCTTTCACCACTTATAAAACATACAAACTTGTGACTATGGGAGAGGTTGCTGAAAGGAAACTGCAGACTTGTTTTAGTTTACAAAAAAATAATAAAAGATCTCTTTTTGACTCCTAATTGTCTGCAAAAAGGCAACTTCAAAGCCTCACGTAGGAAGAGTCCTTATTTAATTTGCACCATATACTCCCCACCTCCTGAAACTAAAACACAGACCTGGACTTCACCAGACTCTCAAATTGTCTTTTAACACAAACTACTAAATCTAATGCTTTAATGGTGCTGTAGAAGGTTTGTTGGGGTAAAACATGCCTGTAAAGATACAACAGATATTTAAATCTATAAATCTTCACTGACAATCTGTATGGAAATGTATCAAACTTTATAGGGACGAAAATAGCATATATTTTTCAATATAGTATATACATAGCCTACTTCTTAAATAGTATTTTGGTAATTGTCCTTTATCTGAAATGCTTACGTAGTTTAAAGTCTTAAGACATTCAGTTCATTTGGATAAATTATTAACAGAAACTGTCAAAAGGTGAAACACATTATTTAGCAATTTATATTCAATTAACTGTTAACACATGACTGTTTATTTTATTCCAGCTGAGTGTGTTGACATTTGATGTTGATTTCTGGCCTGAGTTTACTTTGAATAGGGAACCAATTAAACTTACCTTATATTCTTAATGCTAAATGTATTGACATTAGATTACCGGACATTAGGAAAAGCATACTGGGTTCCCATTGTTTCCTTTATCTGAATTCTCGCATTCGATACTAAAGTGGTTTCTTATCAGTTCAGCTTTAAGTGTAACAGTAAAAAGGAGGAGTTTAGACTAGTTTTTACCTCTCTATATAAAGACTCTTGTGTGTAAAATCTTTATTGGGTCACGCTGAAAATAATGAAGTCTGTCTTGGTGTTGCTGGCCTTTTTGGCCGTCTCACAGGGTCTTCTCAGGTAAGATAAACAGCAAACTTCCAGTTATTAATGACAAAATTTTAAAAAATGCTATTTAACATACCTTTGCAGAGT